GCTGATTAACAACCAAAGCCAGTAAAGAGGCTTAATTCACTAAAATAATGAGCTTGTTTCTCAAAAACAGCACTGAATACAGTTGTTTTTAATTAATTTATGGATCAAAAGGGTGAAACTGTTTGCTTTTGCTGCATTTATTATTCTATAAAAAAAAAGATACAAATATTTGCTGATCACCAGTCAGAGCTGGTTGAGGAAACTGACTGGCTCTGATCATTGGTTGATTGCCTCGTCTCTAATACTTGCTTTATTAGTGTTTTTCTAAACGAAATGAAATATTGTACAAAGCTCGGTCTCCATGCATTCTTCTACAAACATGCAGTGAATAGGCCACCTCTGCTCCAGCCAAGTAAGGGGATGATCCGGGGATTGAAATTTGAGCTGGTTTTTACTCCGTCTTGTTTCCCTAACACCCGAGTCTTCACGATGGCCGCAGGGGTTGAACAAGTTATTAACCGTAGCTGAGAAAGGAAAAGTAGCAAGAGGAGGTTGTGGTGACATTACTGTAGCTGAGAATGCAGACGTAGGTGGGAAGATTTGGCAGCAACAAAAACATAATTAGGCTGAAGAAAATCTTAGGACAAAGGAGTGAGAAACAAAGAAATTTTGATATTAGATGGGTTAGTTCACTGCTCACTGAAAACCCCCCACTGCTTGCCAGGATAGGCAGAGGTCAGCATGAGGTAGAGGAGGGGAATGAAGAAAATGAAGGAGCACAGAAAAAGGGAGAAGGGTGCGCATGAGATGGGGGCGTTAATGTGAACCAGCTGTAGAAACCTGACACCCCAAGAATGGGTTTGAAAGGAGAGGTGGAGGACTGAGAAAGAGAGGGAAAGAGGGGCTGCAGGAAACGGCATGAGACGAGGGACGGAGAAAAGAAGAGGGGGGAAAAAAGTCCTCATGAAGTACAACAAAGAGAGCCATAGATGAGTGAGGCAGCAAAGTCTTTCTCTGGCAGGCTGTTTTATAAAAGTAAAGGTATTGTAAAGATTTCTGACTAATGATTTGTGAGAAAATATTTGACTTCGAAATTTGTCAAAAGAATCACATTGGGGCCTGTGTTGTTTTTAAACACAGAGTGTTTGACAGAGTATTTGGTTAGAGCTTCCTCTGTGAGACACCACTCCCTGACAATAATGTGAATCATGCACAGCCTTGTCTGTTTGCCTCGGGCTCTGGTGATACAGCCAGCGGCTAATAATGAGCTCTCTATCTGGCAGCGAAACCTGAAGGACAGGGTATCGCTTCCTGACGCCACTGCGTTTAGCTCTGTCAACACTGGTTAGATAGCAGCGATTGAATTTTAATAGAGCCTACCATGCATCTTTCCTGTCAGCACTTTTACATTTTCACAAAAATCCACGACAAGCAACTAATTCTTGACAGGTGGGCCTGAGTTCAAAGAGACCTCCAGAACAGATGTTTTAGCAATTGAGCTCTGCTCCCTGAAAAAAAACTATTAAAACACAATAAATCACCATCAAATCCAGTGATTTAAAGCATATTTTATTTTATTAGGTCTGATGAGGTGGTATTGTCCCACTTTAAAGATTTTGGCTGTTTCCCACCTTTAAAAAAACGAAACAGAAAATATATATTTTCAGTGATGAAAGGTAAACCTTGTATTAACCAGGACACGGGGCTCTTTGTGTGACAGTCTGCTAATGTGAGATATGTTGCAGGGCAGAAGACCGTGTCATTACTCTGGGACAGAGGGCACAGAGGTGGTCCGAATAAAAACTAGCAAGCTTATTTCCCAGGACGGCTGTCTTCTTGCGATGAAACTGTGTTTGTGTTTACAGTGGGGAGCCAGACTGGGGAGGAAAGTGTGTTTATGTGTCATCTTGAATACTCGTGTTGTGGAGGAGTTGCGCTGCAGACCAGCTGATACAGATGGGGAAGATTGAGTGTGACCATGTCTAATTTGAAGTTTGTCCTCTTTTTGAAGATTTCACATCTTTAATTTATCATCTTGTCTGCCTGTATGCTGACTCACAACACTATTTACATTCCAAGGGAATTGTTTAGACTTTCATATTTCCGCAAATACCGCTGATGATGTGCTTTGAATTATTATTGATAGGCCCCAAATTTTTTGACACAAGACAAATACAACTTTCTAGGATTTTGTTTTATTTCTTGGCTTGTCAGCTTGTAGAGTTTTCGACATATGGATATTTTATATTAATTTTAGCATTAATGAGAAATGTAAATAATTCAAAAAGGCTAGAACATTCAGTAAAATCTAACAAAGTAATGAAATTTCTGATGAAGGATACGTTTGGACACCAAAACTTGTATTCCCACGTAAAGTAGCTAAAATCACACACAGGCCTCTCACAATAGATTCACATGATTAGAACGTCATTACTGTGCGTCTTGCCCAGTAAACCTCAGACACACAGTTTGATGTGCTCCTGACCGATGAAGTAAGAGTGACCTTCATGGTCTGAGGTGTTTATAAGGAAGATCGTAGCAGATTATGTCAACATAGCTCAACCGATACAGCAGACTCTTACTGTTGTTGACATAAAAGTACGTCTGTAGAATCTGAAAAAATCACATTTAACTTTTTTGTATAGACAAGTCTAAAACTGAATCATTTTGTCACCCGTTCAGCATAAAATCTACCTTTAAAATCTATATCATATTTGAGGTTTTCTGAAGAGATTGTAAAAATCTGTCAAAAAAGCTAGAGCAGAACTGAACCCTACAACATGACCTAATTTACACCAGTGAACCCATCAAGGACTGGCTGAAAAGTAAGAAACCGAAAGGGTCCAGTCAAAGCCAGATGTGCCACCGGGGCCTTGACCAATGTCAGAAACTCATAGATGGAATTGATTTCAGCCAAAAAGGGAAACACCAGCTATCAGGCCTCTGAGGGTTTGTTGCCTCCATGTTTAATGGATGAAAATAATATTTAATGAGGTGTGATATTTTTCCACATGGTTGTGTTTCTCTTAACTTTTTAGCTATTTTATCCAAAATTCCATTTTTATTACAATTATAGATTTGTTTTGCAGCTATGCCTGAGAACGTCTTTCTTAATCTGCCAGGAATGTACTTACAATCGCCTTATGAGTAAACGCACTCGCATAAGTGCTTTCTAGTTTAACTGCTGATAACTGAGAGCTAATTAATTAAAAATGATCTGATTACCGTCTTTGATTTATCTGGGCATCCATACCTAAAGAGACTGAAAACCATCGAAATAACCATATAGCTTTGTACTTTTTTCTTTTAGGTCTGTCAATGTGTCTGTTTGTGCATTTCATCTGAAAACAAGCTCCTTTAGACTGGGTCTTCAGTGTCAGATGTTTGTTGTTATGAAGATTTTTCTGGTGACTCACACATGGTAATAGGCAGAAGCTTCTAGGATGTGATCGATCTGTGGGCCTTCAGTTTGACGTGATTCATGGCTCCCCTCCTTTCTCATGCGCTTACAACCTAATAGCTTCAAGCTGCTTTGGGGTGGAGCAGCAAATTCTAACTATAAGTTAAGTGTGAGATTGAATTTCACACAATTCTCTTCTCCAATACCTCATTTAAACGTTACAGTGCTGTTTTCGGCTTTTCTTCCTTTTTCTTCTTATTATTATATATATTTTTTTTACATTTCATAAACCAGTTTATTTGTAAAATTATTTAAAATTACATATTAATGTGTCCTTGTGTACATGTGCGTGTTAGTTCCTGCGATGTGTATGTCTGCCCTCTATTGTATTTCCTCAGCTCCTCAAGGGAGGAAAGTTTAGAGGCCTCAGAGAGAGGCAGGAGGTCGCGCCGTCGCCCACAGTCCCCAGACAGCATGTCTGCCATGTGCCACTGCCGACACAAAGATGACGAATCTATGCAGCACACAGGAAACTACCTGACTGCAGACATTTTTGCCACTTTCAGTGTATTATCTATGACCAAAAACAGCCTTGCATAGAGAAGTGATGAGTGAGAGTGGGGAGTGGGAGTTACTGTGAAAAAACAGTGGAATAGAAAGTCACAAAGGGAACATTGTCTCAGATAAGATCCCTGGTGGACACATTGCGCAATATTATAAATGTCTTCAAGCTGCCCTGCATGTGGATGAATCACTTTACTGAAGAAGAGAAAAATCAAACCAAAAAGGATGATGAATGTGATTTTGTAAGCTGTAATGAGTAAAAGGCAACGCTTTTTTAGGTTGAGCCAAATACATTGTGGTGAGAAACTTGCTATGAAGTGTTAATGTTGGGATTCATGCTGCGGCCCGATCACTCTTCAGAAATGTTTTCTTGCTGTTGTTTATAGTTTCTGCCAGGCACGTACAACAACTTCCATATAACCTTACTCCACATCCTTCTGCTTTTGTACTTCTCCTTGTCATCAATGACCAAGATTCAACCCTTTCACAGAACTCTGCCTCCCTAGTTTCTGTAAGAGGGGTTCTTGGGGCAATAGCTCTGGGTTCAAAACACTACCTGTTGCAATTTTTGGATTAGGATACCTATTCCTGTCAGCTTATTCAGGAATTGGGGTTTGAATGAACTTTGTGTAGCAAGATGCAAACTATTAAAACAAACATAAGAAGACTTTTAAGAAGCAAAATCAGTTACCCCTTAAATATCTGAACTAACTGAACACCACTTTCTTTCTAACTGTCCTCGAGGGATGTGGTTCCCCACATACTGCTCTTTAGGCTACTTTATAGCAGCAGAGAGTAATTAGACACAAGTATTCACTGGTGCTCTTTGATGTGTTTTAGAACAGGATTTGTTTTGCAGATGATACTTGCAGCATTTGGCAGCAGTTGTCTGATGTGGTGTCCTACATCCACCTCATTGAAACTCACTCTTGTTTTGTCTGTTTGCGTCTCTTTAAAGCACACACACGATTGTCTGCTTCTTCAATTCATGCTTTCTTGTTGCATTGTCTGCACTGAGTGCTAGTTAGCTTTAATTCCTTTGTGATTTTGTCCGTTTGATCGATAATTTCTATGTTTTTTTTTTCTCTGTGCACAGATGTGCTCCAGGTTTTTTGGGAGAGTACTGTCAGCACAAGGACCCCTGTCAACCAGGATACTGCCTGAATGGGGGGAACTGTTCTGTGTCCATGTCAGCTGGGGTTCCTGTTCCCGGTAGCGCCTCCTGCACCTGTCCTCTCGGCTACACTGGACAGCACTGCCAAACTCCCCTAAACTCCACGTGTTATCCAAACAACCCATGTGCCAACAAGGGGGTCTGCACCCTGCTGTCCCTTGTCAAGTACAAGTGTGAGTGCACCAGAGGATGGACAGGTGAGATGATGTTTAATCAACTCTTTCATCACTTCCCAGAATTATTTGGTACAAGGAAAGGTAACCCAGCTGCCTATTTTTGTTTAGTTTTTGTTGCTTCTGAAGCATCAAAGCAGTTTATTCTGGAATACTAGTTTTTAACTTGCTGATTGTGGCATTGCTCCCTTCATAAGGATAACTTCCCTAAATTGTTTCAGCTGTGTTTTTTTGGCAGTGTCACAAGAAGAAGGGAGTTTATGAAGTGAAAAAGGGCTTTATTAGCAAAGATTCAGCTCAGGAAATTCCATCAAACATTTTGAAACTGCTCTGATTGCCTAATCGATTGCATTTTTCCCCTTTAGTGTCACACTGTTGAGTCATCGCTATGCCTAATATCTGGCTGAAAAAATCTGACTTTCTTTTGCATTAGGCCCCGTCAAAGCACACAATCTCACAATCTGCCCATCTTCACCACTTACATCAACTTCAATACAAAGTTACTGAGAAATCTAGAACATGCTAATGGGTACAAATTAGTCATGGGCAACTGGTGTTTCTGAGAGTGTTTCATAAAAGTACCACGATACATGTAAAACTTTCACATCAAACAATATGATAATTACTCCCACTACTGCTGTAACAGTGTGACATATATTTAATAATTAACTTCATAATAGTATAGTAAATAAACATTTATTTATTGCTTAGAGTTCTCCAGCAGAATTGGAAAACTCAATATGGCAATATGGAATAAATTCGATCCAATTTTTGTTAGAATTTTTAAATAAACAAGTTTGTTGTACAGAAAATGTAAACTTTTTGGTATTCTGCTTATCATAGAGCAGAACAAGTCCGTTTGATCGATATGTGACATTGCCTCTTAATTAATGGGCTATTTACTCAGGTTGTCAGCGCTTTCCCATCTATCTCTTTGAAATGAGTTTAATGCCAGGAGGGGTGTTACGCAAAATCGACTTTTTGAGCTTTACATAATCTTATAATGTTATGATCTCATCAAAGACATAACTAAAGTGTTGCTTTGAAACATTTTAAAACAACTGAAGGTAACATTATTATGTGATTGTGCCGTAAAATGGCATTATGTGCATAGAAAATACATAATATTGCCCCTCTAAGCCTGAGGAACTGTATGCAGGTTTGATGTCTAATTCCTCATTATCTGTCGTGTCACTTTTTCTAACGAAACCAAGGACAGCTAAAGCACCAACGTTAACCGCTTTGTTCCCCCAATTTCCAGGTCCACGCTGTGAGCATGAGGACAGTTGTCTCTCCAGTCCCTGTGCCAACAGAGGAAGGTGCAGCTCTCTGCCTGGTGGCAGCTACACCTGTTCCTGCCTTGCCGGCTATCAAGGCCCGCGCTGCCTTAATGACACAAATGAATGTGCAGACACACCCTCTCCCTGCCAGAATGAAGGCGAATGTGTCAACACCCCTGGCTCTTACAAGTGAGTTTCCAGCGATCACGTGAGAAACGTCGCTACTTCCACATGTTTTCTCTTGAAGGAATAGCAGACGGATTGTGCTGAGTTTGAAGAAGTTTATTGAGTGAAATGAGCTGTGCTTTTGCTACAGGTGTGTCTGTAAGCCAGGCTTCACGGGCCTTCAATGTGAGAGTTCATACATCCCCTGCTCACCTTCGCCATGTCTAAATGGAGGCACCTGCCACCAGACATCTGAAACCACCTACTCATGTCACTGCCTTCCAGGTGCCTGCCGCCACACTCTTATTGAGATGGAAACATTGGAAGAAAGAACTAAAAACTGTTACACTATAATTGGTATTTATAAAAAAAATAAGTCATTTGAATGTTTTAATAGTTACTCTATGCTGTTTGCAGTGCAAACAGTTTGACCTTGATCTTTGTTGTATTAGCCACATAGCAGCCTGTTACATTTAGCTGGTGGAAACAGCAAACACACTCCTGTACAGTTTATACTGCAACAGGACGTACTTTATTCTAAAATCAATATTCAAAACAGTTGTTTGTTTGTCTTCATGGACATTGATAGATGTGCGCCATATCTTTACAAATGACTCTGTTTTTCATTGATCCCAGGTTTTAATGGAACTAACTGTGAGAACAACATTGACGACTGTCCTGGCCATCAGTGTGCCAATGGAGGAACATGCATAGATGGAGTCAATACCTACAACTGTCAATGTCCTCCAGAGTGGACTGGTAAGAGATTCTTATATTTAATTGTAGTTGGGATAAAATTAATCTCATTCCTAGATCTGGTATGTGACTAGATATGTCCTTTTGGGCTCATGGCTTTAAATATTTACTTAAAACTATACATTTGTAGTAATTTAAAATATCTGTACAAAGATATTCTAAGTGAAACGTGTCCTCTGTTAGTGAAAATATATATATATATATTTATTTATCTGAATCTGTTTTCAAGTGCCTGTCATGAGTTTAAAACCAGCCTGCAGAAACACAATCAAAGGAATAAATAAAAGAAAGTTGGACACTGTGGGAAAGTTCAATCATTTTATATTTTCAATTTCTGTCCAAAGTGACTTCCCTCTGGAAGTGGGTTATGCTGTTTCACCAGAAATCCACCTAGCTCACTTATGATGAAAGCAGGTATCCAAAGTGTTATTTTAACACGTCTTCTTCTGTGTTCATTTCCCATCCACAGGTCAGCATTGCACAGAGGACGTGGACGAGTGTCGGCTGCAGCCAAATACTTGCCAGAATGGCGGAACCTGTAGCAACTTGTTTGGTGGCTACGTCTGCGTGTGCGTCAACGGCTGGAGTGGCCCCGACTGCTCGGAGAACATTGATGACTGCGCCACAGCCGCATGCAGCCAGGGCTCCACGTGTATCGACCGTGTTGCGTCTTTTATCTGTGTCTGTCCCCCAGGAAAGACAGGTGCGCTTATATATTAAGAAGGCAGTGAAAGAAATACTTTGATATGGATTTTCACTCTTTCTTTGAAAAAAGTATTCTGTCACTTCAACCTGATACTGATTTTTTTTTTCTTGGAGATATTGAAATAGTATTCCTGTCTACTTAGTGGAACCAATAAACAACATTATTGTAAAAATTATAAAAGGTTTATCTATATATTGTATAACATGAGCTACATTCTTTTATTTTAAACAGAAAATAATTTCCAAATTTGTCCTTCTGTAATCAAGTCATAAATCTTGTTTCAGTCAGATGAGATGCAGATGCATCACTACAAAACCTTGTGTGATAAGCTTAATACTGGCGACCAGCCCATGCCAAATAGAGAAATTACATAACGCAGTGTTTACTTACATCTTTGTGATCTTAACTAATGGCTCATTTCTTGGAGTTTGACCTTAAAAATAATGCAGGATGTTTCTGTACAAAAGCCCCATTAGAGCAGGAGTTTCAGCAGTTGTTTCAAAGGTTTTCTTGTTTTTTTCTTCACATGGGAATAAACAATTTTCACTAAATGTTTCTACCATGTTGTTTTTGTCAGGTTTGCTCTGCCATAGAGACGATGCCTGCATCAGTAACCCCTGCAGAGAGGGCTCACATTGCGACACCAACCCCATCACTGGGATGTTCAACTGTAACTGTCCACCGGGATACATAGGCAATACCTGCAACAAAGACAGAGATGAATGCAGCATTGGTGAGACAGCGACTCGAAATATTTTCCTGCTTAGCTTTCTGATCTTTGTTTTTTTTGTGTGGTTTTAATTATTTTGTTTTTGTTTTTTCTTTCATTAACAGGTCCTAACCCATGTGAGCATGGCGGTCAGTGTGTGAACACTGACGGCTCCTTCACTTGTAACTGTGTCAAAGGTTACTCAGGGCCTCGGTGTGAACAAGATGTCAATGAATGTGCCTCCAACCCCTGCCTGAACGATGGCACATGTCTGGATCGCATCGGGGAATACACCTGTATCTGCATGCCCGGTAACTTCTTAAGAAGCTGAAAATTACCACACAAATTCAAAAAGAAACCCTAAATGAAGCTTTTTCACTTTGTTTTTTTTTGTTTGTAAGTAATACAATTATTTATGCTAGACTTTTCATAGATAAAATCACAAGGTGGTTTATGGAGATTCTGACGTGGCCTTAAGACAGTAGGAACAACTGATAAAAACAAGAAGTAGAACATTTAACTAAATAAAAGTGTCCTAAGCTGATTTTAAAGGAATCAATGAAATCGGCAACACAGTCATATTTTTGCTTAGAAATCCTCCAGACAACATAAGTCTGCCAAGATAGTACTTTTAACTGGGTTACATTAGTAAACGCAATGAAACCATTTTAATGTTGTTTGCAACAGTAAAGTGATACAGGTGAAGTGATTAATTTAAAAAAGAAATAAGGAAAAATAATAATAAAAAACACAGTATTTTTGTTTGTTTTTGTGCCTATTTTTGAGCCAACTTGATGTAAATCCTCTCACATAATTATTGTTTTTTGCTTCCCCTAATACCTACAGGATTTGAGGGGACTCATTGTGAGATTGACGTGAATGAGTGTTTGAGCTCTCCCTGTCTGAACCAGGGTAAATGTGTGGACCAGGTCAGCCGTTTTGTTTGCCAGTGCCCAGCAGGTCAGTTTGGCACAAACCTGCTTTCACTTATTTCTCTGACAGATCCAAATCTTCTAGAATTTTCTTTCTTTCGTTGCCTACTTCAGCTTGTTTTTCTGTAAAATGTCCTCAGGTTTCAGCGGAGATATGTGCCAAATAGACATAGATGAGTGCTCCAGTACGCCTTGTTTAAATGGAGCCAAGTGTATCGATCGACCCAATGGATATGATTGTGAATGTGCAGAAGGTGAAGGCGAATACCGCGTTTGGCTTCAGTTGAAAAACTATTTTAATTCCTTGTGTCTTCCCTTTAACAAGAACTTTTCTTCATAGGCTTCACTGGTCTGCTCTGTGAGGAGAACATCGATGACTGCGATCCACCACCTTGTCATCACGGTGTCTGTAAGGATGGCATTGCCACCTACTCTTGTGATTGCTCCTCTGGCTACACAGGCTCCATCTGCAACATCCAGGTCCAGGAGTGCCTCAGCAACCCGTGCCAAAATCGAGGGCGCTGCATCGACTTGGTTGATGCGTACCAGTGTAACTGTCCATCAGGGACCTCAGGTAAGTGATTTGCACATTTGAAGAGTTACCTAATATCTTGTTTTTATTAGAAAAAGCTATCTGTAGTTATTCAGAATCAGCTTTATTCCCCAAGTTGGTGAATACAAATAAGAAATTTGATTTTGACTTCCACTTTTTCCTCAGTGAGTATATGAAAGTATATGAAAAGTGATTTTGTGTACATACAGTGTTTTTACAAACAAAGAAGACATGGTTTGATCCATATGAATATGCAATGTATTTGTCTGGGCACTTCCACTGTTAATTGTTCATCAGATAAACAGCCTGGAGGAAGAAACTGTCTCTGCCGCAACTTTACAGACAGTGTTATGTTAAGTTGAATGGGGTCTGCAGAGTGTTTAGTTGCTCTTTTTGACCAGTAGATCCACCTCCTCCCTGTATGTATGCAGACTCATCACCATCCTGGATCACACCACTAACAGTGGAGTCATCTGGAAACTTTGAGAGTTTTATAGATTACGCCACTGAGGTGTAGTCTGTTTTGAAGGGATAAAAGAAGAGTGGGGAGAGAGCACAGCCCTGAGGAACTGTGCTCTCGGCCCTGATAGTGTGGGGAAAGATGCTTCCCAGCTTCACCTGCTGGTTTTCTGCCAGTCAGACTGGTGAATGGTACTATTAGCAATGGGCTGCACAAAATATTTGGTTTGTGTCAAAAATGTTGTTTTTTTGTTGTTTTTTTTCAATTACATATATACTTTGAAAACCAAGAGAAATGCATATTCTGATTTATTAATGTTTAATACTTTAAGTATTGGTTAGTTTTTATGGCCCTAAATTCTTTATAGTTGGCTTTTAAGTAAGGTTTGTAGTTAATATTGTATCATATTTTCTTTTTAAAATGAAGGTATTTTAAACATTATTTGCCCAAATCCACACCAAACCCTTGATTATCTTTATAGTAGTATGTTATAATTAGATGATTGAGTCATCTTTGTTAGAAAAATGCTATTAGAATTTAATGGATTATTAATCCTTAAGCATAGAAAACATTGATGAAAGTCCTGTTGCCCCTAAGTAAATAATATATTTCTTTCCATTTAAAGCTCACATTCACAAATTCACTTTATGCATTCTGTCTTGAAGAGTTTAATATAAAACTTTGTTAAATGCTAACTTTATGAAATTGTGTTCCCAATTTGTTTTTGGAAAACTCAAAACTTTGTAGTGCATTTTGGATGTTTTGAAATCTAAATGTCTGTTGCTTGAAACAAGTGCCACCAATGTAAAAGCTTCATGGATTATTGGGTTCAGTACCACCCTTAAAACTGGTACTGTTTTTACTAAGCCTAGTGTCAGGTCACCCTAATAGATTTTATGCTCCACTTCCTCTCTGCTGTTCCTTCCCCTTCTTTCTCTATCCCATTTCTCACTTCACCTTTAGTAAGCATTTTAATAATGTTAAGCACTTATGTTGTGCTTGCAACATTCCTGTGTGCTACTTAGTCTGTCTCAGTTCTCCTTTTATAAGTTTTGCTAAATGTGCTTTACTTTGAGTCCAACGCCCCCTACTGGTGTAATCTTAGATAAAGTCTGTTTCCACAGTAAGATTGTTAGTGTTTTCTCAAACTCCAATCTTTATTTGAGTTGGTCACCAGGCAATCAGCATGAAGCTTTTGCAGGAACAGCAGTAATATATTAAACTGTCCTCATCTTTGCATTTCTTTTCTCTTCAGGTGTGAACTGTGAGATCAATGAGAATGACTGTGCCAGCAACCCTTGTAAGCATGGAGAATGCCAAGATGGCATCAATGAGTACAAATGTGTGTGTTCCCCTGGATACACAGGTATGTGTTTGCTCTGTGTCTGAGTAAAATCCCTCACAATAATCAATTTTGTTTTAGTCCAAGTATGCTACTGAACTTTTCAATATGGCTTACACCTGCATAACTCTTCAACAGGAGATCAGTGTGATGTCAACATCAATGAGTGTAACTCAAACCCATGCATGAGTGGGGGAACCTGTGTGGACATCGTGAATGGGTTCCAGTGCCTGTGCCCACCCGGCACCTACGGCCCGCTGTGCCTGTCAGGATCTGATCACTGTGCTTCCCAGCCTTGTGTTCAAGGAGATTGCATCGAGCAGCAACACGGGTACTCAAAACCACTGATTCCTGGTCTTCAATGTCAATAGGAACATTAGTTGTACACTAAATTTGCTTTCTTGTTGTAAATGTTATAGTTGTGTTATATGCTGTCTTTACACATGAAAATTATGTCTGAAAGTAATGATTGATTGAAAGCAGAAATAAGAGTAAATTTATTTTACTAAATTATAGTAATCTTTTTTAAAATATTAATTACAACAACCTGAACATGTATTGGCTCTTCTCCTCACATTGAGATCAAGAGGGAGATTCAGGTTATTTTATCCAAGTGCATCCAGTTGCCTTCTGAAGTCATTTCAGTAGAGAATAGTCCTCCTGTAATATGGTCATTTTTTTATGATTTGGGATTAAGGTTTTTATTCTATTATTAATTTATTGTCTGTTTTCTTCATTCGAGTTAATATTTACAGCAAAAACCAATGTCGGCACAGATTTTCTGACATTTTTTGAAGTTCTGTTTTTCTTTTTGGTTGTTCTTGCAAACAAAAACACCTTGTAAAAACATTTATTAATTTCAAATTAATCTCATCATCATTTGTCATTAAATGAAAGACGTAAAATCAAACATTTAGGACATAGATGTCTTTACCATGGACATGATGAGGGTAAAGAGACTTGAACAATGAGTCTGTCCCATCTAAAGGAAGCGTCTGTCCATCATCCCGTCTTGTCTAGATGTTTTGATTGTACCTTTTCTTGCTATTGATTCAAATAGCAATTTATTTCTTAAGCTTTCAATATTTTCCACACTTTTGCATTTTTACATTAAACTGACTTTATATTCACACATGCTAATCAGACTGATAGCTAAGGAAACAGATAACTGATGCCTTTAACTGACTTCACAGTCTGATTTATTGGTTTTTCTCTCATCAAGGTACCGATGCGAGTGCAAGCCCGGTTGGGTCGGGCAACACTGTGAGCAGCAGAAGAACGACTGTCTGCTGAATCCTTGCTTAAATGGGGCCATCTGCCAGGATCTGCTCAATGGCTACACCTGTCAATGCAAACCAGGATTCAGAGGTAGAGCTATGAATAGATTAGGCAAATATTACTTCCCTAAAACCTGGGAATGATGTTCCCATTAACCAGTGTGTATTTCAGGATAGTCAATGAAGGCTTTATAAAGTAGTTGTTAGATGAAAGCGTTGTTCTAAAACGGTCACTACAAGGAGATGCGAAAACTGAGCAGAATTATTTCTCGCCTCATTAGGGGTGAACTGTGAGAAGAATATAGATGAGTGTGCGTCAGGGCCATGTCTGAACCACGGCATTTGTAGAGATGGAATCAACAGTTACACGTGTCAGTGTCATCCTCCGTTCACAGGTTAGAAATGTTACATTTACATCAGCATGTAAATCCTAGCTTTGTCAGAAGCAAATGAGGCAGCTGGAGATTCTTTATTATTGTGTGAAAAGTGTTTGATTGTACATATTTTGTGCCACAACAGGAAAACACTGTGAGGTGGAGCAAGTTCCTTGTGCCTCCCATCCATGTGAGAAGGGAGGGGTTTGCCTCCCGTCTCAAGATTACACCTCTTATACCTGCCGATGTCGCCCTGGCTGGCAAGGTACCTGTCTGAGACAGACATGTGATGTGGTGCACAACTTAAATGCTGCTGGCTTTGCTAACGCCGTTTATTTATACAAATAGGAAAACACTGCAATGAAGACTTGAATGAATGCATGACGAACCCCTGCCTGAACGGTGGCCGCTGCATTAACACCCCAGGAAGCTACGTGTGTCAATGTCAACGTGGATACAGTGGACACAACTGTCAGATAAACGTAGATGACTGCTCACCAAGTGAGTTTCACTCAAGCTAATGTATTCCCCTCAAGTACACAGTTAGCTAAATAAAACTTGTACTGGTAATTTCTCATTTTTTAATTTTGTGTGCATAAAACTGAAACAAGAGCATCATACATGTAGGATGAAAAATGTCATTTCAATTCTAAGAAAGAGGACAAAAGTGTGTTATAAACATTATTTATTTATATTTGTGTCACTTTAAACAGACTTTTTTAAGCAGTCTTTCAGATTTGAGCAATAGTCTTTTAATATTTTTATGCAAGAGTAGCATACGGATATTGGAATAATTGAAGGCTGAAGTGAATTCTAGAATCTAGATGGTATTTAAATGATCATTTTTGTCATAAATCACCTCTATTTCCCTGATTCTGCCCTGACTAGACCCCTGCCTGAATGGAGGCCAGTGTGTGGACAAAGTGGCGAGTTTCTCCTGTGATTGCCGCGCGGGTTTTGAAGGGGATCGCTGTGAGACCGATGTGAATGAATGCGCCAGCGAGCCCTGCAGGAATGGAGGCGTCTGCCAGGACTACGTGAACAGCTTCGTGTGCAGGTGCCTGCCGGGCTTCAATGGAATCCAGTGTGAACACAACATTCTTGAATGCACAGAGAGGTGAGCCAGTTGATCAACCTTTTATCCATACAAAAGGGATGTTACAATAGAGAAGAAATGTTCTGCTGTTAATCCTTCACAGACATCAAATTTACATTAAATGTATATTTAAGAAAATATTACGTTCCTGTCATTTTTCCCTCCAGCTCCTGCCTCAATAACGGAACTTGCATTGATGACATTAATACCTTTTCCTGCCGCTGCCGGCACGGTTTTTACGGAACGTTCTGTGAGTTTGAGCACAACGAATGTGATTCTCAGCCCTGTGAACATGGAGGCACTTGCACAGACGGCCTGGGGACTTACCGCTGCACCTGTCCTGTGGGATACAGCGGACAGAACTGTCAGGTAAAGTGCTTTGTTTGAAAATGAGGTGCTGCAAAAACTTTAGCTTCAGTGCTGAGAATAACAAAAAAAATGAACGTTTTGTAATGGTTAGGATGTACTATAAGAAATGTTTGTTCGGTTTTTGTTTGGATAATGAATATTTTGTCAGTTATAAAGGAATGGTTAGTTTTTTCCAAAATATTTCATGTCCATAGGTATTTTTTGTTGACTTTGTGCTGTCATATTTACATTTAAACAAGTTTTTTTTTTTTCTGCAGAACTATGTAAACTTGTGCACCCAGGTGAAATGTAAGAACGGTGGCACCTGCTCTCAGACAGCTACATCCTGGACCTGCCGCTGTCCGATGGGGTGGACAGGACTTTACTGCGATGTCCCCAACATGTCCTGTCAAGACTATGCTGCCAGGAGCGGTGAGAGATTATTTCAGTTTCAAAACAATTGGCAATTTATGCCAGTGTTATGCACGAACAACTGTTTTATCTGCGAACTACCCGTTTTCTATGAAAATCTAAATCTGATGTTTCTGCTCAATATCATTGTTCTAAGTTACATTCGAAACATTTCGGTCCTTGTCTACATTACTGCAGGTTTGGTGGTGGAACGTGTATGTAAGAATGCGGGTCACTGTGTTAACGTGGGGAACTCCCATCAGTGCAAGTGCCAGTCAGGATACACTGGCAGCTACTGTGAGGAGATGGTGGACGAGTGTCAGTCGAATCCCTGTAGAAATGGCGCTACATGCAAGGATTATCAGGGCACATACGAATGTGTAGTGAGTATATTCCTCCTTTTTTTTTCTCTGCACGTCTCTGAAAGTGGTTGTTGGGTGAAAATAAATAAATAAATCTCGTTTCATTGTATCCAGTGTAAACCAGGCTTCCAAGGAGTGAACTGTGAGTATGACGTTGACGAATGTCACTCTAAGCCCTGCCTCAACGGAGGAAGATGTATCAACCTCATCAACCGCTTTACATGTATCTGCCCACCAGGAACACACGGTAGGTGTAGACCCTGCTCGATTGTTTTAGCTAAATTATTTATTTTAGCTAAATCCCAGAATAAGGAGCAGGGGAATTGTTAATTACTTTTAAAATCAGAAGGTTTCAGACGTTTCTCGGGCTAAAAAAGATGTTTTCCAAACATTTTAGTTTGAGTCTCATTAGAAAGTGAAGGTATTGTTCCCTGAGAGTTTTTGCAAGCTGTAATCAAAATTTAAAAGTTTGTTTTCTAAAATTGTGAATTTGAAAAAATAAAGTAAAAAAAAACAACAACAAAAAACTAACAAAATATTGTACTCATTATTATTCTGTTTAAGAAATAGAAATAATTTTGGTAATCTCAATTGACCTAAAAAATTAGAAATTTTGCCTGATATAATGTTTTGTAGTGGAATAAAGAAACTTTGTATTTACTAATATAGTCTATGGAAATATATGATTTCAGCTATATGTTTTTTTTGAAAGCCTTATGTCTTTATAGATTATCTCACAACTAATATTGTTAGGACTTTATCTTAAGTGGATTCATTGCATTTCTTCTGTTTGAATGTGATGGGAGAAAAGTTCAACTACATCACCTTCTGCTGGTGTCTGGAGCTTTGACACTTACATTTGTGTAAAATCTTCTCTGAAAGATTTGCTTTACACAGTGCATGTGTCAAGTAAGATCTTTTCGCTGTTCTGCAGGAGTCCAATGTGAGGTGAATGAGGATGACTGCGCCCCCAGCCCAGGCTCCTCTGAGCCGCGCTGCAGAAACGGAGGACAGTGTGTTGACGGCGTGGGCCGTTACACCTGCTCCTGTCCTCCGGGGTTCGTCGGGGAACACTGCGAGGGCGACGTCAATGAATGCCAGTCTGGACCCTGTAGTGCTGCTGGCAGCCTCGACTGCATCGAGCTGGTCAATGATTATCAGTGTCTCTGTCGCCTTGGATACACAGGTACGTGCATCTTACCTGTTCAAACTGGTGGTACACAAGTAAAGAGATTTTCTGTTGTTGATGTGAGAGCATCATGCAAGACCCTATTGATGTTTCTGCTTTTTGTTGCTGATTATTTCTTAACCGTCTCGTGGATCTGTTTCTCCCCTCCTCGTTCCTTTAGGTCGCCATTGTGAATCCATGGTGGATCTGTGCGTGTCGAAGCCATGCCGTAACGGCGGCGTTTGCACCATGAACATGAGCTCAGTACACGGCTACGCCTGCACTTGCCCCACTGTAAGTCATCCTTAATTTTGCTTCTATTTCCATCATTGTGCGATATAGATATTGCACATTTTCAATGCTCATAAACTAATTTATTAAATGTATTTAATGGGATGGAGCAATGTTTAATTTTCAAGACATCCAACATTCAAAATATGAACTGAATACAATTCACAGTCTTGTGTTTTAAGAAAGCAAAAAGGTTTTTTATTATTTCCTTAGTATTTCTGTGTGAATTCTAAAAATTCTACATTAAAATCAAGTACATAACTAAAGATCTTTATTGTGTTCAGCACTAGCAACACTACTACTTTCTGTTTGTGTATCATGAGTTCAGGCTAAAGGTGACAATGCGCTCAGCTGTTTTCTTTTCTTTTGCTGCTATTTGTCATTCTCTCTCTTTTTACTACCTTAACTTCTTGCTGCCTCTATATTTTCATATTTGCTTCAGAGGGCTAAACCATGGCTCAGGTAAAGTAGACTCTCTTTTGTAGGACCGAGTAGTGGTAGTCATAGTAAACTACTCTACAAGCTTATTCTGTGCTTTCTGAGCCTATGAAATGTCAGTTTAATAACTCAGAGGTGACATTGTGTTTCACAGGGCTTTTCTGGATTCAGCTGTGGTGAAATAGAGGATTTCAACTGTGCAAGACTGAGCTGCCAAAACGGCGGCCGCTGCATGAAGTCACCAGTAGGACAACTGTATTGCCAGTGCCAGCCGGGCTTCAGTGGGTCACACTGTGAGAAGGAGCAGATGTGCTCAGTGCCCTGCCAGAACGGAGGCGTCTGTGTCAAAGACCCATCCAACCCTTTTCTGCACAGCTGCCGGTGTCCCGACAACTTCTTCGGACGATTCTGTGAGAAAAAAGCACGTGTGCGTGGGCCTCTGAGATGCCCTTATGTACAGTGTGAGGCACGACTAAAGGATAACGTGTGTGACGAGCAATGCAACAACCATGAATGCCAGTGGGATGGAGGCGATTGCTCGCTCAACTGGCCGCAGCCGTGGGCCAACTGCACAGCCAGTGTTCCCTGCTGGGATCTCTTTAAGAACGGACAGTGTGACAAGGAGTGTGACAACCCTGGTTGTCTCTTTGACAGCTTTGAATGCATGGAGGTCCACACAAGCCCATGCAAGTATGTCACTCTACTCCTTGTTCTCTTGATGATCTACAAAAAGCACCAAAATTATTTAAAGCAATTAAAAAAAACATTCCATGTGTTTTTAAGGTATGACATGTACTGCAAAGACCACTTTGGAAATGGTGTCTGTGACCAGAGCTGCTACACAGAGGCCTGTGGATGGGACGGACTGGACTGCTCTAACAATGTACCGGCTGATTTGGCAGCCGGCACGCTGGTCATTGTGGTCCTGCTGCAGCCAGACGAGCTGCTTAGAGACCTGAAGGCTTTCCTGCGCTCCCTGGGAGCCCTGCTCCACACCAACGTGAGGGTGAGGCTGAACGAGAACAAGAAGCCGATGGTGTACCCTTACTTTGGAGAGCAGAGACAGACTGACCAAAGCAGAAGCAAGCGGGAGCTGGCCAGAGAGATTATTGGGTAAGAATGGTTATAATGGGAAACGCCACTATCTGGGGTTTCTGCTCAGTCTGGCAATAACAGAAAAATACAGAGTTTATTTTCAGTACAAACATCTGGTTAAATTAGAAAATAAAAAAGTATTTTGGAGAAATAGGTTATTTTTCCCCACAATTTCTTCTCTCTTTGTGTAAATGTTCTATTTTGCCTCCCATCTTTGTATCCTTATAAGTAATGATAATATCAATATAATAATTTAATAATGATAATAATAATAATATCAATAATATCCTCTTATATTTGCAATTGCTTGCCTACTGTTTCTTCCTCCTATGTTTTTGTCTGAGATCTTTCAAATCTCATAGACTTTCCTTCTCACTCCCACAACATTTCTTTCCTTCTATCATTTTCTTTTTCTTTCCCTCCTTAACTTCCTCATATACTTCCTTCTGTAGTTATCTGCCATAAATGATTCGCTTTATGTTTCTGAATGGACGCTGAGGAGAGCTGTGAAAAGTTCAGTTTGGAAAACTGTTGAACTTTTACATGACAGTGTGTGTAGGAACTTTGTAGTTCCCTAATCAATGGGTTAAAATAATCACTTGTTTGTTTAATTGCTAACTAGTTTGGTATTTTGATCTTTGTCGATGCAGCTCTGAGGTGCACCTGGACATCGATAACCGTGAATGCTCCAAGAGCTCCACCTCCAACTGCTTCTCCAACACTTCTACAGCCGCCTCCTTTATTGCAGCGGCTCACATCAAGGCAGACCTGCCTTACCCACTGGTGTCTGTTAAGAGTAAGTAGATCTACCATCACACATGTGCAAATATGATTGAACAGTTTCTCTTTTGAAAAACACTTCCTCTATAATGTGTTTTTGCTTCTCTACATCTCACATTTTCTGTTCTTTTTTAGTAAAGTGTCTTCACTTTCTCGTTTTATGAGAGGAGTAACGTAACTCCTTTAATCATATCTCTGATTAGCCTGAAATGGATGATTAAAAATTACAACCATATCTACCTTCCTCTTAAAAACAGGTTCTCCAACAGAGGAGGAGTCCTCGATATATAAGTACCTGATTGGAGTTGCTGCTTTCATCGTTCTGCTGATTCTGGTGCTGGGGATGCTGGCAGCCAAGAAGAAACATAAACATGGCGTTCTGTGGCTGCCCGATGGCTTCCTGGCCACTAAAAATGACAAGAGGAGAGAGCCTGTTGGACAGGACGACTTTGACATGAAGTGAGTCAATATTCACATCAAGTACAAGTGAAACCCAACATATGAGAAACTTGTGATTCATTTCAGTAACAGCATTGCTGATTTTTATAAAATATGTTTTCATCTCGTGTTAGGAATTTCAAGACCCATGATGGAAGCATGGCTGATGGAGGTCAGAGTCAGAGATGGCTCGATGATGAAACTCCATCCAAAAAGCCAAGAGTATGTGGATGATGACTCTTACGTAACAGTTCGTGGAGGGTTAAGGTGTGGGTTTTGTGTCAAACTTTGAATTTTTTTCCAGACTGAAGACAAGCCTCTACTTTCCATCCCAATGGATGGAGGCATCGACCGTAGAGAGTGGACCCTGCAGCATCGCAAAGCTGCAGACATCACTCTCACTCCTCCCCAGGCTGACTTAGATGCTGACTGTTTGGATGTTAATGTCAAAGGACCTGGTGAGATGGCGCTTTTTCTATCATTTTACAAGTTGACGTATGAGCAAGTGTATTTAGTTCTTCATTTTCTCTTTCCTCACTCAGATGGCTTCACCCCTCTGATGGTGGCGTCCCTGCGTAACGGTGGAGGTCCGGACTGCAGCCTGCATGGAGACGAGGAAGACGAGAGCGGAGGAGACGAACCGGGACCGAGTGTCATTTCAGATCTGATCGCCCAGGGCGCGAATCTGATGGCTCAGACTGACCGCACAGGCGAAACCGCTCTCCACCTGGCCGCCCGCTACGCCCGGGCCGACGCCGCCAAAAGACTGCTGGACGCCGGAGCGGATCCCAACGCTCATGACAACATGGGCAGAACCCCGCTTCACGCCGCCGTGGCAGCCGACGCACAAGGAGTCTTTCAGGTAAATCAGCTTCCTGACTTACCCTGAGGGAATGGAAGTCCTGGCAAAGCCAAACACTTTTTTAGATTTTGTGATGATGCAACCACAAAATTCTGTTCATTTTAGTTGCTCTAATAGCTGAATATAGAACTTCAGAATTGCTGAAACAGATGGACTCTTTTTACTAATTAGGTGAGATCTGAAGGAAATTTGTTTCACTGAATTTTAATTATATTCCCTAGATATGGTAGGGGACTCGTGACAAATGCATGCACTGATTTTATCACAAAATATCCCAATAAAACACACCGTAGTGTTTGTCTGTAATGTGGAAAAGTATTTGCAAGTCAACACAAAAGTGAAGAATGACAGTCATTAGAGTCATTGTTCCAAAAAATTATCATTTTGTTTTGAGACTATTTTCAAGTAATATGTATATAATAGTTGTGTAATAATGCAAGTTTGCCCTCCTGAAGACCAGTGAATGTAAATTTTATAAGGAACGCATAACACTAGAACTGGAATGTATCCAAAATAATACACAGCCAAAACTAACAAATAAAATGGAAATTAAAACTAACAACTGAAAGCATAGAAAATGGATTTCAAAGTCTCTTAAAATAAAATTTTCCTTAAAAAAAAATTTGATTATCAGAATGGAAATTATCAAGCTCATTTTAATGTATGCTATTAATTGCAGTGTTGCAGTGTATTTAATTGTGGTATCAGCTTTGTATAGTCCGAGAAATATTTCCCCAGGTTTATTTTCTTCTCGTATTATGTTTGTTTTTCCAGATTCTGATCCGTAACCGCGCCACAGAACTGGACGCCAGGATGAACGACGGTACGACACCGCTGATCCTGGCAGCACGGCTCGCTGTGGAGGGCATGGTAGAAGAGCTGATCCACTGCCACGCCGACATCAATGCTGTAGATGACCACGGTAAGACAACAAATGATAATTATCATTGTGAACAAGGGCGGGTTACAACATTAGTATCATCAATGCGACTTCAGAGGGATTACTGTCGATGCAACAAGTGGCCAAATCTGAGTTGTACTCAAAATGTACCAGTTCTGAGTCCTACTGGAATTACTGCCATATTTAGGGAGAACAAACTACTGCAGCCACCCTGTTAGACAGAAAGTCTAAGCTAAACAAATAAAAGCATGCTGCTGAAATCAGGAGTCAAGGACTTCACTACAGAAATCTCAGAAAAACCAGGAAAATATAAACATTGTGGTCATTTATACCCCTTTTTGAGTCATTTTGTTCATATTTTGGCTGAATTTTTAAAAAGCTAAGAGTAGAAATGGCAATCTGATTTGAAATGTCATCTGAAAAAATGACATCTATTTAACAATTTTTCTTAAATCAATGTTTAGGTAAATCTGCTTTGCACTGGGCAGCTGCAGTTAACAATGTGGAGGCTACTCTTGTACTTCTGAAGAATGGAGCCAACCGCGACATGCAAGACAATAAGGTATGTTGGTATCATTGTTATCATAGTTATATTTTGTGTGTGTTGTTATGTCCAATAAGTGATTTAAAAGCTGTTTTTTCTGACAGATAAATATATCTATCGTCATGTGATGCACTTGCTGCTACACATTTTAGTGTATAAATACTGAGGAGTGTTTCTGTTGGATCATTGCAGCCTGACATAAATTAACAGGCTGCATACGGTGTTTGTTTCAGGAGGAGACTCCCTTGTTCCTCGCAGCACGAGAAGGCAGCTTTGAGGCGGCTCAGGTTCTTCTCGATCACTACTCCAACCGCGACATCACCGATCACCTGGACCGGCTGCCCCGCGACACGGCTCAAGAGCGCATGCACCATGACATAGTCCGCCTGCTGGACCAGTACAACCTGGTTCACAGCCCACACAATGGTCCCAACCACATGGGTGGAGGTGGAAACTCTGTGATGTGTGGGGCAAACGGTGGAGGCTTCATCGGCATGCGGCCTGGACCCCAAGGCAAGAAGAGCAGAAGCAGAGGAGCTGGGGCGAAGGCCGGGGGAGTCGGCGGGGGGCCAAAGGAGCTAAAAGACATCAAAGTAAAGAGAAGGAAGAAACCTGCTGGAGGAGAGGGTCCGGGTCTGGCTGCGGCAGGTGGAGGAGGCGCAGGAGGTGCAGGCGGAGGCAGCACTAATGGAGTAAAGGCAGCAGGAGCGCTTCCTCCGGAGAGCTCGGTCACCATGTCGCCTGTCGACTCCCTGGAGTCGCCTCACTCCTACGCAGGCGACGTGTCCGCCGCAGGCTCCAACACTGCCAACTCTCCTCCCCTCCTGAGCAGTCCCACGTCCAGAGCAATGCTGCCCCCGGTTAGCCACATGCTGGGGCAGCAGCAGGGCTGGGGGGGAGTGGCCAAGCACGGCTACAACGGTCACATGTTCGGTCTCCTCCAGCACGGCATGAGAGGAGGGCATCCCGGCATGAGCCACGGCCAGGGCACCATGATGACCCCCATGAACGTCACCATGATCAGGGAGCAGCTGCCCCCCATCGTCACCTTCCAGATGGTTCCCACAGGAACGGGCCAGGCCATGCTGAAGCAGCCCCAATCAGGGCAGGTACAAGTTAGCCAGAGCCAGGGCCAGAACCAGAGTCTGTGTCACACCCAGCCAGTACCGGGACACGTCCACTGCAGCCAGGGGATGATCTACCCGGACCAGATGAATGTGGTGCAGGGCCCCTCCCACACCCTGCAGCATCCCCACAACATCAGCCACCCCAACGGGATGGAGGGCCAGTCTCGACCGCTGCCGCCCTACACGCCCATGCAAAGCCCGGTGGATAAATACCCTACCCCTCCCTCCCAGCACAGCCATGTCCCCGCTGGGTCAGAGGGCACCACCCCGGGCCACTCCACCCACCCACAGAACGAGCACCCGTACCTCACCCCCTCCCCCGAATCCCCGGACCCTTGGTCCTCCTCCTCTCCACACTCTAACTCGGACTGGTCTGACGTCACCACTAGCCCCACCCCGCTGGGGAACTCCCACCACGCACTGCCATCATCACGCCACACACACATTCCAGAGCAGGCGCAGATGCAGCCGCCGTCGCAGCAGATGCAGCCGCCTGCGCAGCAACCTCAGCTCGGAAACATGCAGGTGTTTGCATGAAGGCGCCAGAGGAGAGCAGAAACAGACTGACTCAGAAAACACACACCCAGTGCCTTTTTCGTACACTCTCTGTCCTCTAAAATCCTAGTCACCCACCTCCCCTTCTGTTTCCAACTAAGACAACAGTTTATAGTTTGTGTCGTGTAATTTGGTACTTTCAGCCAAAATCACATTCTCTGGAGCAGAAGCTTGGCTCTAAAAACTTTTCCATATATTTACATTCATCAGCCAAGACTTTTCCTCTAAATTTGGAACCAAATTTGCACAATAATAACCACTGCTACGTCATCCAGGTGCATCACGAACTGGTTTTGCAATTCCCGAGGGATCACGAAGAAAAACTGTTGAATAGAAGAAGTTCAGCTCTACTTGCTTAAACAACAGAAAAATGAGACAGTTCATCAGAAATCCTCCACACTGACACTCTATTTCTATTCTCCAAAAGTCTGTTAAATCTGTTCGCAAGATGCTACCTTTATGTGTTCTTCAGTGTTATAAACTTGCCGATACTAACTTCTGGTTGACACGTTCACTCTAAATCTTTTAATTTAACGAGTCTCAATCAGCTGATGCTTTCATTAACTAAAAAAACTGCTTGTTGGTTCCTCTTTTGTTGTTGTTGTTGTTTTTTTATTCCTGTTTATTGTGCCAATGGCGAGGTTTTTAGCTTTTGTTGTATAATAGTTTTACATTTTCTGTCTGTTCAAGTACATCGAAGTTCTTCAAATGGGGATTTACAGTCAAAAGCAGGTGTTGAGATATTTATGTTTTGTCCGTTTCCACTCTTGAGAAGTATCGGAGGGATTCATTCTGTTGCTATAAAGCCGTTTGTGTTGGTTTTGTCCGTCGTTGCCGTCTCCATTGCTATTATTCTGTAAGAAGAAATGTACATACACTTAAAGCAATTTCTGCTTGTTTTAGTTGAGGTAAATGTGGTGTTGTTGCCTTCTTAAAGTGCCTGTTTTTTTATATAAATATCTGCACTTCCTGAATGATTTTGAATGTTACAAAGGTGTATGTTTTTACCGTTAAACTGCTCTACGCAGTTGTCTTCCAAAAATGTGTAAGATTTGTTTATCTACAATCAATGTTTGTCATAATTCATAACCAAGTCTGACCACAAGCAGTAAAATATGTTTTTTGTTGTTGTTTTCTGTCCTCTGTCTCAAAGCAGATGGTGAGTATCGTTTCTGCTCTGTCAGACAATCATAAAATTGTTGATTATTTTCAAAAAGGAGTGGGAGACCAAATTGTGTTTTGTTTAGCCAAAATTGCTCACCGTGTACATATATTTGTTGCTTTAGAAAGTTTTGCATCTGCTCAACGGTAAGAGACGGAGTGCTTATGTCCTGCACCAGCTGAAACGTCGAATCACCGTCAGTGAGGTCGAGCTGATCAATATTCCCGACCTTCACCTCCGTTTCTGTACACCCAGTCTCTTTAGTTTCACAAACCCATGTACTGTACAATGAGATGTCAGTCTGTATTTTTCATAGTCATAATCATCTGGTACCTATTCAAGGCTGTCTGCTTTGTGTATATAAAATGTTTTTTTGTATGTTTACCATTCTTTTTTATGTTAACCAAATAGCCTATATTATCCATGCAGTATGAAGTAGTTGTCACCATGTTTTGTTAAATGTAGAACCAACTTCGATTCAGGAGGTAATCTGTTCAGAAAAAAAACAATAATGAACCAAATGTGTTTACTTAAATAAAGCCCTGATCTTCATAGACCTTTGCATGTTTGCCCATTTTTCTCATCTAAGCTGGAATATTCTGTCATTTTATAGCCTATCGCAAAAGTATTCACGTTTCCACTTTTATTGGGATTTTATGTGACGCACCAACACAAAGTAGTGCATAATTATAAAGAAGAAAGGAGAAAAAAAAAGGCATAATTTGCTGTTGTTTCCTAAACGTGTGACATCCCTTAAATGGCTCACATCATCAAACAAACATAATAAAATACTAAGACAGCTTCCAGATGATCAATTCATTTATTAAGGGAACAAAAGCATCTCTCACGCCTTGTTTAATCATGAATTGTGATTAAGCACCATTTTGAGACAGATTTTGTTTCCTATCACTCATTACTGCCACGCCTGTAGAACCTGAAAGACTTGAATAATGTGGAACTTGTCTGAAAACATAAAGTAGGCTAAAAGGTCTCAAAAAGCAACACAACATGTTAACATAATGTGTTTTTGAATTGAATTTGAAGCTGTTAAAAACATGTCTTTATTAGAGTCAAAAAAGCTTATAATGTCAAATTAGGACTGAGTGAAAGCCATCATGTACAAATGGAGAAAAAATGACTACAGGAGCGCATTAGTGACTCATGCAGAAGGTTCATAAAAGAACCAAGAAAAAAATGTAAAGCACAAAAGGTCGTCCCTCAGCTAAGGTCAGAGTTTATGTGTCAACAGTAAGAAAAAGACGACAAAAATGGGAAAGTTCCATGGTGAAAATCTGCTGGGCAAAAATAATATAAAGTCCTGTTACATATTTGCAAAAAAAACAAAAACATCTTGATGATTCCCCAATTATTTTGAGAAAACAATCTGTGCACTAGTGACACAAAAGTGAAACTTTTAGGAAAGTGTGCATCTTGTTACAGAGTAAAACTAGATGTTTCTGATGTTTCAGGGGGGAAAAAAAGAACATTATGGTGGTATTGTGATGTTCCGGTGCTGCTGCTATGCACCAGAACAGAACTGGTTCAGAACCTGGACATGTTGCTGTAATCTGCAGAGACCATGAGTTCTGCTCACTGCCAGAAAATCCAGGAGGAGACATCTGGCCTTCCGTTCGTGACCTGAAGCTCAAACAAACTTGGGTAATGCAGCGGGACAGTAATCCAAAGTTCACCAGTAAATTCACATTGAAATATCTACAAAAAAAAAAAAACTGAAACAAGGTTTTATAATGTCCACATAGAACCTGGTTATGTTTGAAAACCTTTTCAATATGAAACAGTTTTCAAATTTACCATAGGTTGTCTCTGTCTCATGTAAATAAAAAAGAAATCAGATGGGATAAAAACAAACAAACAAGAAATGTGCACAGGGGAAATGGATAATAAGAGAAAGAATTAGTATGTAAATATGCATGTAAACTGATTTCAACTGTACCTACTTTGCTCTGATGCTCCTAAAACATCCAGTTCCCTTCAGAAGTTAAATAGAGTCCATTTGTGCATTTAATAATATGTTAAATATATAGTGTGTTCTTGATACTGTGACTAAATGAAAATAAACGTTTCCTGTAGATCAAAAATAAATAAGTAGAGTCATCTATAGAATCAAAACTCCTACAAATATGGCACATTACTTGATGTCATTAAATATAATTCCCCTGACCTATTTATTTATTTTTTTCAATATGCACAAAAAAATTCAGCGCAATTAAAATTATCTTTACATACTCAAGAAAGTGGGCGGAATAAATTTAACAATATTCCCACTCCTTATCCACCTACATTACATGACATTTATTACATGCACAATCCATACATCTACAACTAATGGGTTGACTACATTTAATAGTTAACCCATCAGCAGTCTTCATTTCATTTCAATTACAAAAGTCGATGAATAAGCATTGTTTCTTTAAATTGCAAAAAAAACTAGTATTAACAACAAAAGTACAAAAAAATTTGAACAGTAATGTTATACAATAATCATATGTTTATATGACAATTATTTTCGGACATCGTCTAATTCAGTTTTCAGATTACTCCACGATCTGACTCCAATTACTGAAACACAATTGTTTTTTTCTAGTATTTCTGATTTTTTCTCATTTTAAACTGTGACACGTTTAGACTCGAACCAGCAGATGGCGCAATATGCAGCAGTCAGTCGTTAAGGAAGCGGGGAAAAAAAAAAAAAGACAAGGAAGAGACGCGAACGAGGAAGTGATCCCGCACCTTCAGAGGCATGAGATTCCTCCAGTGAAGCGCTCTCCTGCGGGTTGTGTGCGTCTCTGCTGAAGCGAGGTTGAACCGAAATGGCTGGGAGCTTCCCGACGGTCGGCGCGGAGAGCCGGGGGAAGACTTAAAGAGACGGACGGACGGACGGACGGGAGATAGAGATAGAGAGAGAGAGAGAGAGAGAGAGGAGCTGCTGTTTTGACAGCTGGGATTATCCTCCACTGTCCTGCTGTCTGCCTCAAAGAGACAATCCGAACCGAACTGGGGTAACAACTTCAAATAGAGCAGGACTCTTCATGCTGAGGGGAACCTGAGGGGGTAAAGAAAAGGTGAGCTCACCTGTCTGTTGCTCACCTGGCTCTGGTTCCACGTCCTCCCTCCTCCACGTCAGTCTGACTCTCCGGTTTGTCCTCAGGCTCCCACCATGGCTTCAGCCCGGCTGAAGTACCTCTCCCTGGGCGTGCTGGTGTTCCAGACCACCTCGCTGGTGCTCACGATGCGGTACTCCCGCACCCTGCAGGCCGAGGGCCCGCGGTACCTGGCGTCCTCGGCCGTGGTGGTGGCCGAGGTCATGAAGATTCTCGCCTGTGTGCTGCTCGTTTTCAAGGAGCACAGTGAGTGGACCGGCTGGGCTTCGCCGGCATGGAAGTACTGGTCCTTCCAGGGCCGATCCCAGGATGTTTAGGGTCCTACGTAGTCCTTGATTTGGGGGCCAAATCGATCTGAACGCAGGACCGATGTTGCAGCCTTTTGGGGGCTCTAGACAGATAAAAATGTACTCGTTTCACAGATAGAGTATTTCACTTATAACAAGAACTTTTTACATTTTTTTAAATCAATATCAAGGAATTATTCACTTAAAGCAAGATTATATTTCCTGTAACTTGGTTTTGTCTTCTTTCAAGTGCATTAAGATATTTGCTCTAGAAATTAGACCAAACATACTTTGTAAAATTTTGTGTTTTTGGACTGAATCCTGTCTGAACTGGTGACATTTTGATAATAACATTGGAAAGTATGTATATTTTTGTTTGTTAAAGACTTGCAAATGCAAAATATGAGAGAGTATTATGACGCAACTTTAACATTTCCATTATACTGCATGGATGTTGTTAGAATTGCGAGATGTGCGGTCTTCACACCGACAACCAGAGGGTTTCACAACATAGGGGAGTGGCCATGGATTTGGCCATCACAGTCCCCAGAAATGAATTCTTTGGTTTGCATAAAAAAATAGAATGTCAGCCGTTAAGCATGAATCACAACCTCCAACCAGAGCCGATACGGTCCCCGATTTGAAGTGAGCTCAGTTTCCATCATCACACAGACGTGACGGATTGTCTCTATTTATAAAGAAAACAGTTAAAATACCATTCATTTCCTCATGCAGCTGTGCATGGCAGGTGTCAACATACAGCAGCAACATGTGTGATTGAGGAGCTCATCTGTTTAATGTCTCTCCCTGCTCTGCTACAGGTTACAGCATGCGAGCTCTGAACAGCATCCTGCGGCAGGAAATCCTCCATAAACCCGTGGAGACGCTGAAGCTGGCCATCCCCTCGGGGATCTACACGCTGCAGAACAACCTGCTGTACGTCGCCCTGTCCAACCTGGACGCCGCCACTTATCAGGTACGTCCAGAGGACAGTGGTAGTTGCTGACGAATATTTGCTTTTAAATTAAAAACATTTCCCTCCTTCTTCTTTTTTTTTTTTTTTTTACCTCAGGTGACGTACCAGCTGAAGATCCTGACCACAGCCCTGTTCTCTGTCTCCATGCTTGGCCGCAGGCTGGGGGTCTACCAGTGGCTCTCCTTGCTGATCCTGATGGCCGGAGTAGCTCTTGTGCAGGTGAGGTGCATTGTTTGGTTTTAGATTGTTTGAATGAACAGGAATAAGATTGCTTCAGTTTAAGATGTCAGAGATAAAGCTAGGCAGTGGCTTTGTTGTGCTATCTTTACTAATTTTGGAGGAATAGCTCTGAAATTTCAGAGCTGGAAGTATTATTGTGCCGCAGGCCAAAAGAAAAAAAAGGAACTATGAGTATGTGGTCCTTGCTCTTCGTTACTTGAACAACAGGGTTTTGTTGTTATTGGAGCCAAACACCCTTAAGCTATCAACACAACCAAGGTGGCTGGTTTGGAACAAATGCTGGGTGAAGCATTTTGAAGAACACGATGGTGTCCTACAGCAGTGTGTGACCAGAATAACGAGGTGCTTCCAGGAAGTGGTTGTGTCTCCCCTGCTTGTTAAATGAGAAATTTTGAATTGCCAAAATGTCTAGTTGCTTCAAATATCAACCCATACTGATGATTAAAAAATCAATAAAACTCAAGAATTACTAGCAGAGTCATGCATATCAGCCAACAAATACATTTCTTTTACAAATGAGGCTCCATCTAAAGAGGAAAATAAAGCTTTTAAGCTGTGTAAGAACTGCCTGGACCCTCTGTAGCAACAAAGTAATAATCAACCAAACAAGTTTCAAGACTGTGGTGCTTAAATCTACTGATATTTGATTAAAAATGCAGAATAAATATTTTTGTGTCACTGATAATATTTCAGTTTTTAACATCTTTTAAATCTCTAGACCTTAAAAGATAACAGTGTTAGCTGTCATCTGTCTCAGCTCTTCACTTCAAGGTTTTACTGTGTTTGCGTTTGGCAGCAGATTCCAGATTCAGAGAAGGAAAAAGAAAACACTAAACGGAGCAACTGTCTTGCTTTCAGTTTCTCTCCGTTCGCGTAGTTTTTTTTAATGCAACTGTCTGGATATTACATCTAATCCTGCAATTCAAGGAAATAATGTTTGTATCTAAAACAAACCTTGCGGTCTATTAAACAAATTCCTTTATCTGTCATCTCTCTGCACCACCACGGCTCATCCTTTCCCTTTTTGTGTTGCCACCTTTTTTCCAGCTTACGGCAGCACAAAGAGCACAAGAACAAGTTTCTCACAACTCAGCAAAACTGTGAAGATGCCAGCGTATGGATTTCAGACCCTTAGTGTTATAAATCTACAGACCTGACTGCGAAAATTAATGACTAGCGTTTGAGCCTTTTTTTTCTAAATATTGTGTTATATATGTGTTGATATAGTTGATCCAAAAGCCCAGATTTATGACTCATTCAGGGTCGTTTAAGTCTTCTCGTCTTTCTTCATATTGGCAAGGTGTTACTAAAAGTCAACTAGTTAAATTTCATATATGATCATTTGCATTGGTGGGTTCTTTCCTTCTCCTTTTTTGACTTGCCGTCAGAAAACGAGGTCATTCTCTACCATCTGCAAATCTGTCAGCTCAACTTGTCAGCTTGCGAAATTAAAATGAAAACAGAAGTTGAAGAAGATGAGCATAAGGCGTACTCGGGCTGACTCTGTTACTTAGTGAAGTTGGACTGCAAGCTGATGGACCAAGCAGTGAGTGAATCCGTCTGCTTCTGGTGTTCAAAGTAGGAAACTTTAATCAAAGCTTTAGATTACATGTGGATATGTTTTTTTGTGCTTTCCTCTTATGATGACCTTTTTTTCTACAAATTTCCATGATGTTAGTTTTCAATTATTTACAAACCCTGCAATAAATGAATAGCATCCCAGTTTGGCGTCATAACAAAGATTAAAACTCCTGCTCTTCATCCATCCATTTGAAAGGATTGAAAAATTTTTAAGCTAATGCTGAAGTGAACATCATCTCAGATGCACAGCCACACGTTTGACCCACTTTGACATGAGTTCTCAGTGTTCCTATTATTAACTTCTTAAACTGATGCGTAAAACCAAAGTGTTTTCTGTGTTTGCTCACAGTGGCCCTCTGAGTCCGCGGCGGCCCCAGAGAAGGAGGCCCGCTCCGCGGGCTCCCAGTTCGTCGGGGTCACGGCGGTCCTGGTGGCGTGCTGCTCCAGCGGCTTTGCCGGCGTCTACTTCGAGAAGATCCTGAAGGAGAGCAAACAGAGCGTGTGGGTCCGCAACATCCAGCTCGGTCAGTGGTCAACAGAGACGTTAGATCGGGGCGTTACTGCGTGGCGTTGTGTGTGCTGATGTTTCCAAAGTGAGAACAGAGGCAGCTGGGTTTTCTCTCCCTCTTGTGAATTTCTGTGAAGACAAATGTTCCTGTTTGCGTTTATTTTTACCTTGGAACATGTGAGGCATGTACTCGGCCCCCTGTGACTCCTCCTGCGAGCTCAAAGCTTTTTCACCTGCGTTAAACATTTGAGAGACATCTTTTTCTGTTTTAAGACTGTTAAAGCTAACTTACTTATTTTGACTCAAGCAAAACTATGCTAAACATAATTCAGTTCTCTCTAAGGGCAAATCTTGTTTACGATCCATAGACTTAAGAGCATTTAGCAGCCATCAACACTTCAGGTACACAACCTTTGGGATATGCAACGATATAATGCAATTTTTATTGGTTTTTTTACGTCATTCTCTTCTTTAAAACTCATACGAAAGCCTAAACTGCTAAGAGTTTTGAGACATTCCTCAAACCTTAAGGCAGTTTGAATTAGCTTCTTTCCATCAGGAGGTGGCTTTAGTCATTAGGCAAACCCAATTCTAGAGTTTAAAACCCCTGAGCTATAAATTATAGCGCTTCTAAAGCTGTGAATGCCAAAAATTATGTCTGAATAACATACAACTTCAACTTTCTATTTTTTAGAGAAACTGTTTTATGATTTGTTTTTTGAAAATGAAGTCTGCGCAAACACACTGCTGCTAGCTAGCTGAATTATCCCGACAAACATTGCAGCAGAGCATTAGATAAGATGTCTTATCAAACTGCATTCTTTATCCTGAGATGGTGACCGACCAATTTAGGAAGCATGCAACACTAGGTGGCGCTACAACATACAGAACTTTACTTTGAAATTTTCCCATAAAAAGACTTGTTTTTCCTGATTTTCTGGTTTTCAGCATAATTTTTTTGTGTGTCTGAACGTGATGCAGTTTACCCTCTGTGAATTAATCTTTTCTAAGAATTTTTAAAACCATTTAGGTCAGTTACATTAGATTACTGTGAGAGTCCTTCTCAGTGGATAGTACAATAACTTTAAAAGTTTACGTTTGGAAAAGAATCCCACTACAAGTTGAACACTAGGGGTGCTAAAGATAAGAAGCTAGCAGCTACGGTAAAGGGCCCAGAAGCAACCAAGTACAGCAGATCTACCACATTCACACTTCCTGTGAAATGTGGATTGCTGTATTTATGCTGTTTTAGCACCAGGTGTGTTTTGTTCTGTTCTGTTTGGGTTATCTCGTTTTATTTGTGTGTTTCTCCTTCCAGGAATGTTTGGCCTTGTGTTTGGCCTCTTTGGCATGCTTGCATACGACGGGGAGCGGGTGAGAGAGTCTGGGATGTTTCAGGGATACAACACAATCACCTGGACGGTGGTAGCCCTGCAGGTAACTCCTCCTCCACTACCACGGGATCTGATGTCATTTCCCTTCCAGCCCAACCAGTTCTGCTCTTTGAGCCCCTTCAGATCGTGCCTTTGTCCATCTGCGCCTGTGTGTTTGTTGTTTCTTTAGGCGCTGGGTGGTCTGGTCATAGCAGCGGTCATCAAGTATGCGGACAACATCCTAAAAGGTTTCGCCACGTCACTCTCCATCATCCTGTCCACTCTTATATCTTACTTCCTGCTACAGGACTTTGACCCCTCAAGGTAGAAGAACCTGCATTTTTTTCATATATATGGATGTTTTTCTTCTTGTTTCCGGAGCTCATTGTTTCGTTTCCACAGTGTGTTCTTCCTCGGGGCAGTTTTGGTCATCACTGCCACTTTCCTATACGGCTATGAAGGCAAGCCGCCCGCCAACCCCAGTAGGGCATAAGCCGACTCTACGGTGACTTCATGAGGTCCAGTTGAAGCCTCAAGACTGCGGGGAGGAAAAAGGACAGACGAGAGCGCTGAGAGGGACAGAAAAAAGGAGGGAAGGAGGGGGAGGGGGAAGGCCTTCCTCATATATTGTGAGCAGAGGACAGAAATGCAAGCACAACACTGTCGTTGGTCTCACACCGAAAGTGCCTCACTTCTGAAGGAGAAGCGATTTTGGGGGGTGGAAGGGAGAGAGAAAACACAAGAGTGTGTTTTTCTGTCTTTACTGTGGCAGAGAGGTCCTGGCTGCCACGTCTGCAGGAAGAGGACGGACTGATTGCGTTCCTGAAGGACCAGTTTGACAACCAGTAACCGTTTACTGCCACACCAGTCACGCCCATGCAGTAAATGATTGCAAAGGAAGAGAGCACCTCTACAGCCATAGTATTTTATTTTTTCGCTACTTTTGTCTGTTTTAAGCAAACATTAGAACCTCATTTGAGATACTAACAGATCGCTAAACTCAAACTGGCTGAAAAGGGTCCAGTGTAGCTCAGGTGTTATACGCCCTAACCACACACTTGAACTGTAGTGGCCTGCACACTTTATGGCACCCCTAATAAAGATGGGGGCTCAACTTAAATTAAGCCGTTATTGCTGAAGTATAAATATAAATTCACTGAGCATTTTTTTTTTAGAAAATCTATCCTTTAAGCTGATTTATTCCACATTGCAACAGGAGAAGTTTTTTTTCCTGTTTCCCTGACATTTAAATCTGACTCTTCAAAATGGGAAATACTGAAAAACATGTTCAGTTAGTGAAGACAGATGTGCATTCATTGTCATTCGCTACTGCAATGCTACAGAAAAATAGCTTCCCAACAACAGTAATTAAAATCTTAAATTAAGGCTGCAGGTTATTTCCATCCTCCTGGGACTGTGTGAGTTAAAGTTGATCTGAGGGACATCATTTAATATTTTTGGAGTACTTAGTTTCCCATTCCCAGGGTGAAAAAAAACAGCTTGTGGGAACCTCGTTAGATTGCTTCCCACATGGTAATGGTGGAAACTGTATGTTCAAATCTAAACGGATATGGATCACCAGACAGATCCAACCCTTATTCCTACGGGAAAACCCGTTTGCTGCACTGAGAAGAAGAAAACGTAGAGCTGCCCTCTTTTGTCCAGGTGCCAAATATAAGCATCACATGTGGCAAAAGTCAGTTTAGTAAAAAATAATTATTTCTCAATATTCTTAATATTTCCTTGTGTGTAAGCTCGCCTGAACGAAAGGTTAGCTTTCTCTCAGCTTTACCAGGGGTGCCAGTCAGTGTGAACGGTTCTACAAACACATTTTAGAGAACGAGTTAAGACACTGATGGTTTCATTGACTACAACTTGTGTTTTCTAAATGACTGCTTTCTTTCTTCAGACGCGGTCAGTAAAACATCTTGTTGTTATCAAACTCAGAGAGATTCTGTGATGAGATTGCTCCGCCGTTGTCTCAGCCAGCTGGAGTCAAACGTTTGTAATTTGGAGTAAAATGTTTGATGAATGAACCGAGCAGCTTCAGTGACACCACTTAAAATAAAAACTGGTGATTTGGTTCATTTTGGAACTTGAAATAATCTTTAAATCAGTAACCAGTCCTTAGTTTAACTGCAGTAATTTGGCTTAGGTTTACATTGTTCTGTTTGGGCCAATGATGATGGTGAAGCTCTTTGATTTATATTTTATTTTTTGCAGTATATTGTATTGACTCTATGGCCAAACAATCAAACACAGAGTCTTTTTAGGGAATTTATGATTTAATATGTTTGTTTGTTTTTGTTTTCTGAGCTACGTTGGGATAAAGCGGGTATAAATATTAAGTTTATCTTAATTATCTACATGTGAAGCTTTTCTGTAACTTATGATTATGGGTTGTTGTGTGGCTCCTGTTTGAACCTTTCTGCTGTGCAACACAATAACAGGTATATTCAGACTGGAATGTATTAAAACAAAATATAAAGGTGACAATATGGAGAATTGTTTTGGTTTTTTGGGGGGTAAAATGGGAAGAAATTCAAGAACAAAAGGTTGATATTCTGAGTTGACATCACTGCACTGTAAATAAAAAAATAATCAACCAATAAATCTCCTTCTGAAGACTCCTTTACAGAGAAAGGGATACTTTTGAAACCCTCGTACACACAGACAGCAGATATGATCAGATATAAATATATTTCAATTTATTTTTCCTCATTAAAACATTACAGTCTTCACTATTTTCACACTAGAAAAGCCACAATTCGTTGAACAATAATGAATTCCTCTGTCACAAGTGCTGCTCTGTTGATTTATTTTTTCCTGATTGTCAGCGTGACTTCAGAAGACCGAATCCTCAGATTTTTCACCGACCGCTCCCGGGTCCAGGTTAAGGTAGGCGTATTCATTTTCCAAAACACCCGGCTTGCCCGCCTCCCTGATAGTGAGGTGTGTGTTGGTCTGTGCATGAAGCCTCGTTCAGCTGGCGCCACGGTGAAGAAGCAGCATGGGGGCGATTATGTGGGAACGTCATCCATTCCTCCTCTGGCTGGGCTCCGCGCTCTTCTGTGATCTGTCCAGTTTTTTGTGTCGATGAGGCAGAACGGACTGATTGAACAACAGACGGACCGACCTGGCAAACCAGCGGCATTACAGCTGTGCTGCACTAGTTTCACTTTCAGCCTTCCTTCTCTGTTTTTTTTAATAGCAGTTTAGAAAAAGGCATGACACCAGAAGAGGCACTATGACTTTCTAATTCACTAGGATGTATTTTTAAAATTTATCTGTTTGGGTTTTGAGCAGCAATTTTGAATGTCACGAATGTACAACCAGCCTTAAAATGCCTTTCAAAATTATTCCCACACTGTCATATTGTTCCCATTTTGTTACTTGATTTTTATGATACACCAGTAAAATTTGAGTGTATCTTTGGTACCATAAATCCAAAAGAGATGTGACATGCATTTGCATTCAGCCTCCTTTATTTTGATACCTTTAAATAAAATCCAGTGCGACCTTCTGAGGTCAAAGGTGACGTTTCATATAAATACGATCCCAATAAAACATGTCAAGGTTTGTGGCTGTGTCACAATCCTTGTGGTCAGGCTGGGCGTTTACCTTTCATGTGAACATTGATTATTGATTAGGGACCGCTGTGGAGTGAGGCACGCAGCTACATTTTGTTCAATAGATTATGTTGATTGCACATGATTTGTCAACATGAATTTTGAATCTCATTTCTCATCGTCACATGACAAAATAAAAAAAATAAGACATTGACAGATTGAAATATTTTGCTAGGCATCGTGAAATGAGTCAAGAGCGAATTTTCCAGTAATTTTCTCATTTTTAGTTTCTTTGAAGTATTCAGTGGTTAAACTGAGATGGGGAGCGTGGTAAATATTAATATATTCCTATAACACTTGAGTACTTTTGCATTTTGACAGCAAAGGTTTGTGGGAAATCCTCAAAGATGAATGTGTTTTTTTTTTTTTTAAAAAAAGGAGCATTTCCCTTTTTCAATCTCCATAGAAAGATTCAGAAAATCTTAAGACTTTTCTACACTACAGGAGGGGTGTGAGGGGGTGGAGGGGTTGCAAAACAAAATTAAAAACTCTTCCAGCTGACGACACTGTACGTATCAAAAACACTGGTCTGTAAAAGAAATATTTTTGGTCGCCACAGAGACACTTCCAAACTGACCAAAGTCTGTAAAGAGAATACAACTACTATAATTACAAAAACTAAAAGAAAAACAAAAAAAAAAACCTTAAAACAAAATGTATTAAAGGTTGGAGGTAAAGTGTTTATGGACATGATTTTGAAAAAAACTTTTAAGTTTTACTCAAATATTACAACAAAAAATAAAGTTGCTTACTCTGTGTCTTTCAGGCTGAGGAGAAACCGGGACGTCCCTGACCACAGAATGAAACCACCACAGGTGAAATGTGCGAGTACACACACGAGATACGCAACTTACCAAGCAGAGAAGGCACCAATAATACCGACTGATGCATGCATTCATGTACTGGTGCAACCCTTACTGATAATGTTGACCCCTGTTTCAAATGTTTTTAGCAAATATCTCTAGTACAGGAAAAAAAAAAGAAAAAAAAATCCATCCACCCGGACGTCAGAGCTGACGCAACAAGATGGAACAAAAATACAAGAACATTAAACCACAGAGAAACAAAACCCCTTAATTCACAGAAGAATCAGACACCTTTGACTTTTAACACCCCAGCTGCTGTTTCTGCCATGTTTTTAAATGCTTTGTGTTGTAAAAAAAAAAAAAGAAAAAGATACATTTGCCTCTCGTCTTGAATGTGTTTCAGCTTCAGCCTTTAAAATAATGTCTTTGTATGACAAAAGAAAAAGAAATATTCTTTATCATTTTACATTGTATTTCTATTTACTTTGCAGTCAGTAACCGGTTGCACGTGGAAATTATTCATTATTGGCTAAAAGCACAAAAATCTGTAGGGTAACACTGTAAACTGAATCCATGACCCAAACCTTGATACTCTGCTAATTAAGCTTCACACCCAGGGAAGGGTTAAGGTCTGTCCTCTGCCTGGATGAGAGCCGCACTGTTCCCAAGTTCAACAATCAGTCTTATCTTGCTGCAAAAGTGGGAAGAGCACATTTTCCCAGAGAGGCAGGAGAAATGTAATTCCTCAGTAGTTGGAATGCACTCTCTGGTTCGCCTTCTGAGAAATAAAAGCTACGATAACGCGCTTTTAAAACAATTAGTCGATTCTAGAGACAAATTTTAAAACCGCGTTTTAAGACGGAATGCAAAGCTTAACAGCGACAATCAAGGTAGAGATGAAAAATGAAGAGTTAAGAGATCCTATATGCCACTCCCAACCCCAAACTCTACTAAACCCCGTCTATGTCACGATACCAGTCTGAACACAGTTCCCACTGGGAGCCAAAAGCAGCATAAAGCCCCTGAAAGTAATACTGAAGGACCAGTATTACTTACCCCTTTTTACCTTTTGTGGAGGTTAAAAAGGGGGACAGAGGGTTTGATGATGTGGCATGTAGTTGTGATTCAACATGGTGTTATACTGGTTTCCCTTTCTAACAAACAGTCAAATCATTTTGGGGTACGTTTGCCTCCTACATCTTCATTCTCTCCAAATCTAAAAGGAGGGGCCTGAAAATCCCACCAAAAAATAAAATAAATTTTTTTTAAAAAATCCGGCTTTACTGTCGATATCGGCAGGCATCTCTGGCTTTGCGAAGGCAGAACTGGAGCAACTGGGAAGCTTGGATGAAGTCACTGTTAGAAAAGGAGAATCTCTCTGTAGGCTTCATTCGTGTGTCATTGTGTCTGTGAGGAGGTGTACGTGTCGAGTCCGTGTTTTCCTGCGATCTGAAAGTTGAATCTGAAACTAACCTGAACGAGGCCTCTGGCGATTTTGAGGCAGTCTGGTGTGACAGCAGCGAGCCCGAACGCAGCCGTTATAAAAACACATCTGCACAGACGAAAACACCTGAATACGTACATTCACATCATCCATCAGAAATGAAAACGATCAATTACTCCCCTCAATAGAGTTGTCTTTCCTTCACCTTCACCTCCAAAACTTTTCCTCTGGAGGATCTTTAAGGCTGTAGACCTTTTTGTGTGCGTCTGCCCGTGTCAAAGGCTTGATCACATCCTCCTGAGCGTGAGGAGCTACATTGAAGATTAATGATACATCCCAGCACTGACGGTGTTTTCTCAGAGTTAAGCGGCGCTCTGCTCGGGTGTGCTGGGTCAGAGTGCACCTCCGTACGCGCCGCAGTTCTGCAGCACCAGAGGCTGAAACCTTCTGGATGGTCAAAGGCAGCGGTGGGGAATTAAGGCAGAGTTTTAACACTGACTCAGCAATTAAATACTTAACTCTGCTTCGGGTCTTTCATCGTCATTATTTTCAGTCGTATGCGGGTCTCTGTGATGCTGTAGCAAAAAGGAACAGTCCTGAAGAGCCTCCCTTGGCTCTATTTAGGCGGTATGACAACAAGCGGAGGACCTCTCCTTGGCCTCCACATCAGAACCTGGGCGTCGTTGGCGTTCGGCCTCCCCATGGCGTTCGGAGGGATGGGCTCCATGCGGCTCAGCACCCGAGGTTGTTCCTGGTACAGCCGGCCCACCAGCCGGGCTCTGGAGCCCAGAGGCTGGGCTGGATCCACAACTATGTCCACCCTCATCCGCCACTTGATGGTGTGTAGCAGGATCTTCTCCTTGGACGTGGTGTTCAGCGCCACCAGCCAGGTGGTGAAGCTCTGGTCCCTCTTGATGTTGGTCAGCAAGGGCGTGTTGGACTCGCTGACCGGCACGGCCCAGGTGACGCTGGGGTAAAAGTTGTCGTTCATGCTGACTGTGAAGCGGGACGGTTTGGAGGTGGGCCCCACTATGGTGACGGTCTCTGTTGTGTTTCCGTACCAGGGGTAGCTGATGCCATCGGAGTCGCTGATGGCCCTCACCAGACCTTCGCGCAGCTGAGGCAGCTCCCAGCTCGACCTGCAGGGACACAGAAATGAAATCCCCTTCTGGGTAACCGAGCTTTGGTTTCACAAGCTCAAGAGTACGACAAAGCAAGTAAAAAAAACAAAAACAAAAAAACCTTCTGTCTATCTGGGTGAAAAAACCCAATAAAAACAAAAACAGGGGACGTTGAACTTTTGTAAAACATGGAGTCGAAAGTCGAAAGTCCCATTCAATGCTAAAAAATTTAGACATGCAGGCGCGGCGGTGGCGCGGGTGTAAAGTGGGCGACCCTTGCAGAAGACTTACATGGCCAACATGAGAACATGGACAACATGGCAACATGGCTGTCATGGGTTTGAGCCCTGACCTCTTGACCTTCTCCGCATGTCTTCCCTCTCTCTATTAGCCCGCTTTCTGTCTGACTGCTGTTAAATTGGTGGCCACTAGAGCTGTAGAAAACCTCAAGATAAATAATTTAAAAAAAAAACTACATGGATATTTGGAGGGCTCTGCTGGATCCACATTTATTGTAAAAATGATTGTTTTTTTTTTTTTCTTTTACAGGAACAAGTTTGACACTGGGGTCAAAGTCACTTTTTCTGTAAACAGATGAAAATGCAGAAAATGACTTAAAGACAAAGAGCTCTGCTTATCATTTTATGCAACTTTGCTATGTACTACAATTTACTGGAAACAATATCTCATTGATTTGATGTAACGACTTTGAACTCGCTCTGCAACTCAGTCAAACCTGCTGTTTTGTCACTAAAACATGCAAACCATAAAATAATAGCACAGATGTTGCTTGAAACACTGAACTAAATGTCTCCTCCTTAATTCTTTTTGTATATCATCTAAACCTAAACTCAATTTGAAAAAAAAAAACTGCAGACTTCTCTTGAAGGTGTAATTATTTTGTTTTGCACCTGTTTTCATCCTGCATATTTTCTATAATTTTATATTTATTGTTAATATTCTCAGTCTTATTTGAAATCAATAGCACTGGTGCAAGAGGAGGGGGCAGTTATGATCCTGTTCACCCTTTAGCCTTTCCAGACTGAGTGAAATGTATTTTGATGTTAGTAGTAATGTAACTAGTTAGTTTGTTTGTTTTACTTGGATCCCCAGGTAACAGAACAGCCTTAAAATCAATCCATCTTTTACAGCTGCGTGCTCACCTGATACCTTTTTTTTTTCTTTTTTGCCAGCAATGCCAATAAAAATGGAAAGCACTGCAAAACCCTGACAATGCAAACCAAAATGCCGTCGGTGCACATCGTCTCTTTGTTCTGCACGGTTTTGCTGCACTCTCTTCCTCCACGACTTGTCGAGCTCTACTTCCGAAGCCCCTTCCTTCTCCTCTCCCCCGTTTATGCCGTACACCCACCTTAGACCCGGAGCCCGCAGGACTTAACACCCCCTCACATATGCCTTCGCTGATAACGCGTGTCTGAGCGCGTTGTGGGGGACGGCGTGTCCCCGTGGGCACAGTTTGAGTGCCAGAGAGCGAGCAGCAAATGTTGTTTCATCTAATAGCAGCTTTTCTATTTACGTGCCAGAGTCACAGGAACAAAATCTGACGGTGGGCGTCTGAATGAAGAAGGGCTGACGAGCACAGTGAACCTGCTGTGTGCACAAATGCTCCCAACTCCCAGAGCCATGCACCATGCATCAGCGTGCTGGCGCAGCATCGCGGGGGAAACTGCTCACTGTTTGCGCGATAAATCACTCAGTCGGGACGCGATGGAGACTCTGGTGACTTGGATGCCAACTTACATGCCGACGTCTCCGTAGGTGTTGTAAAACTCCATCTGAGTGCACGCCTGGATCCAACCCACCACCCAGGTCTCGCTGCGCGGAATGGGGGGCATGACAATCCGCGCAGCGGCTTTGAAGTAGGGCGTCTTGTATCGGAGCACGATGGGGGAGTTCTCCTCTATGACAGTCGGGCAGTGGTCTATGGTGGCGGACAGGTCATGCACCACGATGTTCTCCCGCTTGATTCGCGACTTGTTGCAGGCTATGCTCTGAATGCAGCCCATGACTGCGCAGGAGAAGGAGAACCTCACAGGCCCGGGGAACCTCGCAGCTGTATGGGACTCGACCAGTATCAACACTACGATGCCGTACATCAGACGAGACTGGGAGGCAGAGGTGGGCGTCACCACACTGAAGGTATACAGGTCAGAATAAGGATCGCGGGGGACTTTCTGACCCCCTGGAGACTCCAAAGCAGTCGAGCGCTTCTCTGCATAGACACTGTCAAAGGGAAACTTTCAGTTTCTTCGCACCCTTTCCTTGGGGATCTGACCCATCCTTCTGCAGCCCCTACCCACAACCTTTGATCCTGCTCCTCCTGCCCGGAGTTGTCATGTCATGAGAGGCTCTGGGGGACCGGCGGACACCGGGGCGCCGGCTGGGAGACCCGGTGTTCGGGCGGCGGCAGCTGTGATAGCGGAAGCGGCGTCGTGCATGAGAAGATGAAGCGCCTGGACTGAAGCCGAGGGACGGTTTTAGTAGAGTCCGTCATGCCTCTGGACTCGAAGCGGAGCAGACCGGGCGAAATAAAGGAAATCCGTGAAGCATCCGAACATCCGCGACGCCAGGTCTCCTCTGAAGACAAGACGAATCCGCCGATCAAACTGAGAAATATCCTGGCTGGGACCACTTCCTATGGATGGATGGAACTGTATCGTGCAGAGTAAAAAAAAAGAAGAAGAAACCCGGTGTCATAGTAACCGCGTTGAGCAGCATCCGAGGCGTCCTCATCCGACGAAACTGCGGAGTGTCGCTGTTCACCCTGGGTGGTGCTGAACCCGCTCATGGACCAATGAACTGCAGGGGGAGCCTCGGAGCGTAGGAGTCTACACTGTAGTGGATCAACGACCTGGTTCCTCCATGTTGGAATAATGCTTTCTAATCCCGCAATAATAAAAATACAAGCCCCCAGTGGATGGGATGAAGACTACACCAGTCTATAGGCGGTGCCCTGTGTGGGCTCCAGCTTTCAACTGGTTCTAACTTCATAAAGACGCCTCTGGTTCATATAGTGCCAGTCTACTGCACAGCTGCAAAACCCAATTTTATACAAACCAAACTGAAAGTGATGGACCCCTGATGGTACCTTGCAGTAGTGGTACTACAAGGTACCACTAGAGTTTCAAATAAAAAGGCAGTTAAAACAATAAATTAGAAAATGAAATCTTAAAACCATGTTCGATGTTCAACAGTGGCTGGTTTACAGAGCTCAATTTCAGTGAATTTACAACCACTCTCCGTAGAAATGAAATAGTTTTCACTTAAATTTTACAAGCTATATTGTAGACTACTTTATTTGACTTTAGAGGTCTTCAAATCCAGACGGTGTCCTACAACTTTTAGATAGTCTCTGGTCCATCACACCTGAATTAAATGGCTCAATCGCCTCCACAGTATGCAGCCATGTTCTCAGAGTCCTGCTCTGCGATTGACCTCATTATTTGATCCAGGTGTGTTGATTGAAGCAGATGCACATATAAAAGTTGCAGGATTTTACCCCTGATCTTCATTTTGCGGCTTTGGCCTAATTTTATTGAGAAAGAACGAAGGCAAAAATAAAAAATAACTAAATATGACATTACTAGAATAGGCTACTACTACTACTACTACTACTACTACTACTACTACTACTAATATAATAATAATAATAATAATAATAATAATTGTGGCAGTATGCCCTGGAGGTTTTGAACGCACCACACAAGTGCTGGCATTTAATTGGTTGTGGCGCTGTTTGTATATAAGGGGCCCTCCCTCACCTGGTCAACATGTGTTTCCGGTTTAGACCTCTGTTGCTGTGCAGCGCCAGTAGCACACTCAGGTGTGCACGTTGATCGCTCCTTCTTCTGGTAAGAGGCCGCTCCTATACTTGCTGTTTGTTAGCCTAGCCTTCGCTTAGCTTTAACTGTACACCTAGGTGGCCTGTGTAAATTGCCTGATCCTCCTCCCAGCCAGAGGCACTACACATAGAGCTTGTGGTAAGTGAAAAGCTCATTACCTGCATGCTTTTAGATTTGTGGTTTAACACTTATGTTTGCTATAGACGCTGCTGTTTGTCCTTGGCCGGCTGTTTGCCTGTTGCCCTGTGGTTCCTGGTTGATGTCAGCTGTTATTTTGGTTGTCCGTCGGCAGTCCATTTGTCGCTCTGGTTGCTGGCTCTCTGCCAGCCGTCGTGGTCAGCGTGAACCTGACTCCTGCCCTTGTCCAGCTTGGCTGGTTCGGACTGGCGACCAGCTTGGACGGACTCTGCTGCCGCTCTTGAGTGGCGTCTGTGGCGTGGCATCCCAGGACGAATTCTTAATTGACAATTGCTGCTGATTGTTGACTGAAAGACAATTATGAAATGACTCATGTAATTTGAATGTCTTTTATCTTGACAGGAAAGGCCAGTTCGTGGTGTTGGTGGTGGACTTTCCGGGTGGTGGTACTCTTTTGATTTGCTGCACAATTTTCTTTAGTTTTGTTGTTTTGTTTGCTGTGTTTCTTTTATTTAGGTCACTACCCTGAACTGCACTGCCGCCCTTGACTTGAGCCGTCACTGTTATTTATTCAATGTGAGTGGTTTTAACTTGGTGTATTTTATTGATTAGCATGAACTGATGTAATAAATAAAATTATTGAAATTAGTGAGATTGTCTCAAGCCTCATATGTAGCGGCATGTGTGCCTTGAAGATAACTTTTTGGGGATAAATTATTACAATTTTGTCTTAAAAATAGTTATTGAACCACACCGGTCCCACCACATAATAATAAATAAATAAATACATGAATAAATAAATACATGAATAAAAACCGCCGTGCTTTTACTTTGAAGGTTGGTCGTTTACGCCGAACTGAATCGTCATTTCCGGTTTGCTCAGCATACACACTGCTGAGTCGCAACACTGAAAGAGAAACAGAAACGACCTGCGTTTGCCACATGGGACGTGCTGCTGTTATAAAACAGCTGGAGCTGGTTGGCGCTTATTTCATATTGATTAAGACAACATGGTGAGAGTCCGTTTCATCTGACTATATATTTAAACATCTGAGAGCTAATGCTAAGCTAACCAAGCTAATAATAAGGTAATGTGGTTTGAATAGCAAATTTTTAAAGGAACGTAGCCTAGTTTTTGTTACTATATGTATATGTCCACATTGGATGATTGAAAGCTGTTTATTCTCACTACAATATTTGCCTTTTTGTGTTTTATGTAACCTTTCTTTATTCATCAGGTTCCATCAGACTGTAAAGCTCTGATAAAGAGGTTTTATCAGCTTCAGTCTGAGCGGATAGAGACCTATCAACTCTTTGAAGAGTGAGTTTATACCTTCTTTTAATGTCTCAAGACATGGCACTATCGTGCACGTACAGCATCATCTTTTTCTGAAGGTGATGCATAAACTTCAGTTAAATTGAAGACGCAGAATTTTCTTGTAGTTTTCAAGTGAGCATGCTTTTTGGGTACAAAGTTCTACCCCTTGTTCCTTTAGGCCCTTGTTATGGAGGACCAGGAGTGTAATGAGTTGCTGCTATTAGTTGGGTCATTCATGAAGGTATTGGGATCTCATTAAATGCTCCTTCCTCTTGGAAATCGAAGTTAATGCAGCAATTAAAGCACCAGAGACAGACATAACATTTAATGTAAACACTGAAGAAAATAGTCTGTTTAAAAAAGTGTTATGTTAACACTATTAAAAATAGTGTGCAAGAATACTTGAATTAAATCATTCATATATTAAGTACCAATTCTAGTGCCTGCAATTGGGCCATGTCACCTGACTGATTTCCTGCCATCACACTTTGAGCATCCTGTTTAAAAACAAAGGAAACAAAAATAACTCCAAAACAAAACAAATAGTTCTTTTCAATAGTTTTACTAATTGGAATGTTGGAAAATGTGCCTTTATTTTAGTCAGATTACTCGTCTTTCTAATCTGGTTGTGGCATCAGATTGCGATTCTCCCATGTGATGCTGTGTTGAATTTTGCGAGACTCAGGTTGTTTGTGATTTGCTGCCAGATTGCAAACCAATCCCCCGTTTAGGAAATGGAGGGACAATTGAGGTACTGCTTAGTGCTTTATGTGATGTAATAAATTCGAGTTTCAGCATTTTACATACACTCTGATGTGTGATTTCTCCTTCGGCAGGTATCTTAACACAGTTGAGGACTGTGAGGAGGCTGATTTGGATTTAGATTTCAGATTATGGGCAGCATGGGGCTGAAATTATCTGGTCTAGAAGGAAATTTTTAAAATTGTTTTTAATGTGGTGCTAAATTGTTACTTTGTTTATTAATCCTTGTTGTCCTAATTAACAAGTCATTCAATAGTGAAATCCCTTGTGAAAGTCCAGAGATTGACTGGGACAATTAAGTCAATTCTGTTTTCCTGACGTTTTATTATAAATCAGTTCTGCATTTCTGCTTTCTGTGATCACAGTCAATATAGCAAAAAAAAAATCAGACTTATCTTGACAATATTACACAGAATTTCACAGAAATCTGAATTGTATGTCAGTATTAAATTTACTATTTGTTTTTTTGTGGCTACTGTAACTGCTTAGGGGACACGAAGCCTACTTGAGGACTGGGCCGCATTACGACTTTGAGCACTACAAGCAGTTGGTCAACGAGATAACGCAGGCCTTCAGTGGCATTTCTAAGGAAGTTCTGGAGATCAAGGCGAGGCTTCATGGAGATTTTGACCGAGCTGACCTCTCCGAGCACATCGAAAAGCTGCAGAGCAAAGAGAAGCAGAAACTTGAACTGGTGGGTGAACATCGCTGTTAAACACAAAGAACAAAACATTCAGACATCTGTTGTCTATTCTCATGTCTGTGCAAGGTCAAACGCTCTCTGAACAAGCCACCAGTTCATCACGGGACATAAAATATTTACTTTTTTATGTTAGCTTTTATTTATTTCCTTCTTGTACTTCAGAAGACATGCATATCCTCTGTATTTTTTTTTACGATTTAGTAGAACTGTCCTGTAAGCTCCAAAAATTTGGTAAATTATTTTTGGACAAATTTCTCACAATATTCTGCTACAAATTTGTCCTATTTCTCCCAAAGTTACTGCTGTAAGTAAATCAGCGATAATAAAGCTGGTGTGTTAATCTAAGAGGAAAAAGTGCTCTTTGATAGAACGTCATTGTTTAACCACCGGGAGGCAGGCTTCTCAACCATCTGTGTATAAAACATATCTCACTGCTTTGTTGTCTATCAGACATTTTTCTAAGGTATTACGTTCCCAGCACTGCTGTCAGAAAGTTATTTCAGAAGCTTTGAGAAAAAGCATGAAAGTGGGGTTTCCTATTTGTTCTCACAGCATTTCTCAAATGATTCCTTCCTCTTTCAGCCTGCCTCACGCTCCGTCTCGGATTTTACTTTCCAAACATTCTCACTTTCTCAAGCTGCTTTCTGGAAAGAATGATTAGAGTTTTCTTTTTCTCGCATATATGTTTTACTCTTGTTAAATTCCTCTTATCTCTGACTTTTTAACCTGCTGGTGCCTTTGAACAGACGGCCAAGCTGCAGCTGGCCAAGCAGCAGGCCCAGGATCAGCCGGAGGATGAAGGATGTCAAGAAAGAATTCAGGAGCTCAAGCACGAGTACGAGCATCGTTGACTTCTTTATTCACTTGTTTACTGCTGTATGAAATAAATGCATTTGCTGCAACTGATACGGTAGTTTATAAAGAATGTCTTTTTGTCTGCCGTTGGACAGGATCATAAAGAACAAAGAGGCTCTGAGTGAAATCATGCAGGACTTTAAATACGACTCAGAAGAGTGTGATTGACAGCCGACTCCCTGGACGTCTGCACCAGCAGCCCTCTCTCATGATGAAACCTCGGGGCCGACAGGCCGACTTCACCCTGATGCAACTTCCATCTCGGCTCTTATTGATTGGCCTCAGGCTCCGCCCTGCTCACTGCTGCAGTCTGATCCCCCCCAGGGGGGTTCTCCCAATCCGCCTCCATGTGTTTTTATGTGGAATTGTGTGTTTGTATTTACTGCATTGCTCAACACATGGAATATTCATAATGTGATGAAATGTTTGTTACAAACACCAAGATGAAATCATTATTGGAGCTCATCCAACTATTTTCTGCTTATGTGATTACTTTTTTTTAAATTAATAAATATGCTTAGACTTTTATTTTTTTTTTACTGAATGAACTATATAAGTAATAAAACTCAATACACAACCTTAAAACAAAAATATAATTTCTTTCAAGGTTGGAAACAATTATTCTTATTCTGATAATAAGACGTATTATGTTTTAAATTACTGATGCTTTACCTGAATACATGTTCTGAAATACTGAAGTGAACAGTGATCATTATATCAGTCAATTCCCCTTTATATCAAACAAAATAAAATGAGCAGATTTACCTAAAGTTTATCTACATCAGGAGGATTTAGAGATCTGAAGAACAGATCTGAACTGAGAAAACACAAATAGCTGCAAGAGAACCAAAGAAAGTTTGATTGGGCACACCTCTCCAAATGTTAACATCAAGGATAACCCAAGTAAAAAAAAACAACCAAAAAAAGATCATAGCTTATTTTTATCTTCACACAGTGATGACTTATTAGAAAAGACAAAACAAAACTGACCCTGTTTGAGAACATTTCTCTACTAGCAAATAATTTGTGACTTTCAGGATCTTTTTGGAGGAAAGTCGAGTCTCATTTAATTAGCCAGGTTGTTTTGACAGTTTCCCCCCCATATTTGAAAACTGCATGATGTTATCTTTGGCAGATATTAAAATCTGTTTCATGATCTGACAAAAAACAGAAGAAATCCATAAGGAGGCAAATAGTTTTTCACAGCACCGTATCAGACAGAATCATTCCTATAATAGTGTATCTTCTTCCGTGCGGCATGATGTAGCCAGACAGAGCAAACAAACAGCTACTTAGTAAAACATGAATCCATTCAACAACTAAACATTTGGCCTAGGAAAAAAACAAACAAACTTGCAGTCCAACTTTCCTGATTCCCAGCTCAAGCATCACCTTAAAATGTAAACACCTTTGACAATCTGTGCTCTTGGGGAATAAAGTAGCTGCTTAGTTCGCCTATTCTCCGCTGTCCTACAGATCTTCTTAAAAGTCAGGCTCAACTCTTCAAATCCTGGAGGATTCTCCCCTGACTGGAACCACGACGACCAGTCAGACTCCAGAGAGGCACTGAGGACCCGGGCTATGAATTACTGCTTCGTGGAACCTGCAAAGAAAAGAGTAGGCGGTTCATCCTGAAAACAATATGAGAAAAATATGTTAAATATTAAAAAAAAAAAAAAACTAATTATTCTGCCAGCCTCTTATCTCTTTCTCAGCTTTTCCTTCCAACTAACTTTTCAGGTAATCAATGAGAATCTGTCACTCTTGGCAAACAAAGACATTACTCAGGAGATGGTTTGTGTCTTAGAAAGCAGAAAAGAAAAACGAGTCAGGTGGACTCTGTGACTTCATGGACCGAGGATGTGTGTCTGCAGGGCCTGAACCTCCCCCTACAGGAACAATGCTGAGCTATTTTTTTTTTGCGAAACGGAATCTGCACGCTAATGCACAAACAAAAAGGCGCACACGGGAACGGACCGCTAATTGTGTGCAAATGTTCCTCCTTCGGCCTTTGTTGTGGCCATCAGCTGAAGATCACAAGTCTGCTCATTAAAATATGAAACGCAATCAGGCGTCCTGACGAAGAGCACGTCCCTCTCTGCTCCCACTTCTGAGCCCGTAAAACTCAAACCGCACATTTTTTTCTTTCTTTTTTTTTTTTTTTTTTACCTGATCATAAAGCTCATGCAGACTGAAACTCCACAGATCCAGTTCAAAGGAAATATTTCCTCTTTTTGCTTGTAAAAAAATGCAGAGCAGATGGCAAGTGGAAAAAAAAAAAAAAAAGAGGCCGGGTCAGAAATTCACTTCGGCGTGTATTGATGGAGTGGTGGGGTGTTTGCGAAGGGCATTTCCCACAGAAGAAGAAAAAAAAAAAAACAGAGAAAGTGTGTGTGTGCCGCTTACCGACCTGGTTGCGTGTTTTGTGGGTTTTCTGCAGCCACACCCTCCACTGATCGTACAGTTTGATGGACATGCTGCCGCAGCCCGAGGCGTGCTTCCGGACCCAGCCGAAGAACTGCTTGAGTTCCCGCCGCAGGGCGGAGTTCTGCTGCCCGGCTTTAGGATGACAGGAGCCTGCTGGTCTCAGCTCTGATGGGAGGGAGGAGGTTGAGGAGGGGACACCGTGGGAGAAAAACGTGTCAGGAGCATTATTGGTAGAGTGTCTCGTTTTATTGCCTTGAAAACGGAAAAAAAAGTAATCCACGGTTTTAAAGCGAGCTTACAGATTTTTGGAACAAAACCAAACGTCTGGCTTGAAGGCACATTGGAGTCGACATCTTTTTCTAAAGTCGTGTTTTTCATCTGCAATTTTAGGAAATCTTTTGAGCGACATGTTTCTACCAGCTGTGCACGTTTGTGTTTATTGATTGTTTGTCGTAAAATACCTCAAACTCACTAAGCATTAAAACATTTTTTTAGATCTCACCACAACTGGTTAATTAGATTAAGATTTGGACTTGGACTGGGCCATTTTCAGCCTGTGTCTGGCTGTCGACCAGAAAGGTGAATCCACTTATCATCCCCCACCTTCCCGCAAACTCTGATCGGGTTCTCTGCTGCTGTCGAAGGAAAGCATCCCCTCAGCATGATGCTTGCACCACCATGTGGCAGAATGGGGACGATGTGCAGCGTGCAAAAGAGAACGAGAGGTTTGGAAAACATCCTAAACTACTGCAGCGTGAGAAAAATAATGATGTTATCTCTTTAACCAAAAGCTCTCAAGTGAAACACGGCAGTGGCAGCATCATGATGTGGGAAGAGACGAATTGAGAGAAACTGTATTAGCTCGATCTTCCAGTGAGGCAATGGCCCTCCATATACAGATTAAAATAATCAAAACAAAACCAAAGCTCTGATCAAATCCACTGTAGAAATTTGCTGATACATCCAACATGGAGTTTAATTTTCTCTAATGCAAAAATTTTAAAAAGTCACAAACCCTGTGTCTGCATGCTGAGCAAACAAACAAATGTCATCTGAGAGAACTTCGTTAACATCGGCATTTTTGCTTTTTTTAAATATGTCATTAGCTTGAAGCAGCTTCAAGAATCTGCTTCAAGCTTAATGTGTCTAATTAACAAATTATGAATGTATGACAAGTTCCTAATAGCAGAATTAAAATTAGAGTATAGAGGTTCAATCTTTTCCAAGTCATTCTCTTATACAGAGTTCACAACAACACTGACGCTTAAAACAGAAACATTTCCCGCAGTGGAACGACCTTAATGGAGAGGTGACATTCCATATTTGGGTTTCAGAAAGAGAATTTTGTCATCTGCCAAAATCAATCCTTTATGGCAAACGACAGAGCTCGATAACGACTCGCCCCTTCCCCCCGGGGAAGTAAATACTACCATAACTTATGTAGCTCATTATCTGCTCCCAAACCTGCTTCCACTTAAGCTTTATAGGCTCTGTGTGTGCCACAGACTGACAGCCAGCTCCGTAACTGGATCAATCTTTGAAGCGGACGAGAGAAATTCATCAGATGTCCCCCCGGCTCTCTGCAGTTCCCTCTAATCCTCTGAGAGGAGAGATCTCTATCTAGCCAGCAAGCCGACTGATGTTTGGTTTCCTGCAGGGTCACATGCGGTTCGGATCTTCCTGCGCAGGATGTTTAAGGGACATTGTTTCTCTGGCTTTAATTGCCAGCGAAAGGTTGATTATTAGAAAAGAACAAACATTTAGACTCTGCAGTCCTGTCATTTGAGCATCAGAACACATTATAACAAAGTTCCCATAAATCTCAGTGAATGCAGTGTGATGAAGTCTGGAAAGTCCTCCTTACCTCCGGCGGGTGTGGAGGCTGCAGCCGGGTGGCTCCAGTCGCTCCAGATTCCAGGTTTCCTGGAGCCAAAGATCCCCACCGGGCTGCACCTGACCTGGACAAAGTAGACGGTCCCAGGCCTGAGGCCCGCCAGCCGGCATGACGTCAAGTTCCCGATGTTATCCACCGCCTGACGGAGGAAACATCACCGTGATTAAAGAACTGAGAGGTCACAGAAATGCTTCTCACTGAAACAGTCTTTAAAAATTTACGTTCACTGCAGACGATGGTCAAATACTTAAACATCATCACGAGGACAATCTAAAGTTCTACCACGTTCATATTTCTGTGCAGACAAACTCTGACTGGTAGCTAAATCTCCTCTGCTTTTGTTTCTCTGCCAGTCCTTTTCACTGACAGAGAGCGTTCTATTTTAGAAACGCCGAGCATCCCCGTCTCGAAAACATCAAAGACGCCTTCTGAAGAAATGACATCTTCAAAAACCTTCACTTCTGCTGACTGCGATCAAAGCCCGGGTTCAAAAACGACGGGGTTTAATTAAAACGAAGACTCGAGTGGGAAACTTCATCAAGCTGGTGCGAGGATCACCTTCCAGTCACCGCCGTCCTCCGTTCTGTAGCGGATCTGATATTCGGCCTGAAACAGGAAGTCCTTGAGCTCGGGCGGACTGGCCCAGCGGACCATCAGCTGGTCGTCGAGGCGGCCGATGCGACTCAGCCGCACGTCAGCAGGAGGGTCTGTTGTCACTGCAGGGCAAGGGAGTTGGAGAGTTTCTACACGGCTTCCCTCACTGTGCACACTGACAGGACATGCGGGTGGAAACTGGACAGACGAAAGTAAAAACTCTAATGGACGCGTTAGGAAACACTCATCATGCAATACCCATGATGTGTGTTTTTGTTTTTCACATTCTTCACAAAAACATATGTAGGCCATCTGAGTTCAGCTGATGTTGAGCTTCAATAAACCAAGACAGATTCCCATCATCTATAGTTCCTCTCATGCCTTCTTCACAAATGAAGACACAAAGAAGAGCTAATAAGAGATTATTTTATGTTTAACCAAGTTAAATAGTAAAAAAGGCAGCAGATCTTTGCTGTGTTATCGCAGGTCTAAAGTTATCTTAAACCCCAGATTCCTGAAAATATGAAGATCTCAAAGATTTCATCTTGTCTTTCTGTGGCAGTCAGGTGGCTTGTGGACTTTGGCTCGCGAAGCCGGCGTGATGTTCCTCATTAAGACACAACGGGCTGCGATAAAATAATTCAGCCACTTTGAAGGAAAGGAAACCAGAGGAAATACGAACAAGATAACAGGACAGAAGACGAAGCTGATTCATGAAGCTATTAAATATCTGTTTGTAAACTTCTGCTCGACACATCCGCTGCTGCTCCCACTGCTGGTGGGTAACGTTATTTATAAGGTATGTTCATTCTAATCAGAAGGACAAAGGAAATCCACACTTTGCTTTTCTGTTCGTTGCTGTAGCATAATGCAGCAGACGAATCCTCCATTTTAACCCCAAGAAGCTTACAACCTCCAGACGGCTCTGCAGTTTGCAGAGGGCGTTTAATGTGGAGCGAGAGCTCCAGGTCTCAAACACGGCTTAGAAGAATGTGGTGTTTGCCGAAGGTTAGGGGACTACACTATATTACCGCTTTAGTATTACGGCTGTAAACCTGAAACCTCAGAAGTCATTAACTGGGAGGCATCTGCTGAGCCGGTACTTTTACAACAAAACTTCTGAGAGTGTCGCACCCCGGGAATTATTCTTCCTGCCTGACTGGAGTGTTGTTATTTATTGGCAGGAGATCTGAAGAGCTGAAGAGAAAAATAACTACGCAATAAATGAAGTGTTCAGACTTCTTTGTATTTCTGTCTCTTGGTTTCATTGCAGCCATTTGCTAATGTCAAAAAAGTTCATATTATTTGTCATGAATGTACACTGAGCGTCCCATTTTGAAGCGTAGAAATTTTTGCAAATTTATTAAAAAAAAAACAACTGGAATATCACACGGTCCTAAATACCCAAACCCTTTGCAGTGGGACTCATATTTAACTATTTAAAAAAAAAAAATTATTATTATGGCAAATGGCTGCAATGAAACAAAGACTCAAAAATTTAAAGAGGTCTGAATATTTTTTGTACCCAATGTACAAAAAATACAAAAATGAAAAGTGTTTCCGCCCTTAAAGATTAAATGACCAAACTAATTTTAATACCAGATCATTTATGAAGAAAGGAAAAGATTTAACTATGCTTAGTTTAATTTTCAATAGTTACACTCAGGTAGACCTATCGAAATGAAGTCACTACAACCTGACTGATAACACAAAGCAGTCTAAAAGAAAGGATTAGAAAATCATCTTCCCGTGAACCACAGTGAGAGCCTTTATGCTGAAATAGAGAAAACAGAACAATAATTTATAAGAGATTAATTATTTTTCACACCACTGTACCTGGGCTGATTTCAACAACATTTTTGAAACCTCACCGTATTTAATTTCTCTTCTATGTTTTGTCGTGTTAACGTGTTCACCTGCTGCGTCTCCGTGTACCAAACATTTTTTCATCATCCGAAGGCCAAAGAGTTCCCTTACTGACCCACATCCAGGACGTCGAGCGAGCTGATGTCGGAGGCAGCTGAGCCCAGCTGATTGGTGGCCTCCACCCAGATCTCGTACGGCGTGAAGAGGGCGATTTTTGCTGAGATGCGACAAGCGTAACCCTTCTTCTCCGAGCTGTAATTTTCACACTCGTTTTCTCTCCCATGCCACCTGAAACACAAAAACACCCGCATGTCTTTTGCTCTGGAGATCCCCATCTACCAACTTGTGACTCACAAAGACTGATGAACTACACAAATCAGACATTTTATCTAAGTGAGGAGCTGCCTCACCTCAGTTTGTACTTCAGGGTGTATTTGGTTGGGATGTGGGTCTCTCCTTGCCCACCGACGCTCCACCTGCAGCTCAAATCCTTTGCGTTGTGGGACCAGCAGGTTAAATTTACTGGCTTCTCTGGAGGCACTGGAATATAATTAAAGGAGCAGAATTAGCTTTAAGCAATCCAAAAAAAAAAAGAAGTGAAAAATGAAGTATGCTCAAACATGTCTGTAATGACGTTCTTTTGACTTTTACAAAATCAAAAGCAAAAGAAAATTGTTACTCTTGTTAAAGAAGCAAAGAGGTAAACTCAAAGAGAAAGGTCAAATATTTCAGGTGAACTGTTACACTTATTTTGAGCAGTTAAGGTTTTTATATTTTCTGTTTTGATCAAATCTCACACCTACAGTCAAAGTGGTGCATAAAGCTGTCCTTGTGCTAAACTACAAGCTAATTTAATTCAAAGCCAAACACAATGATGGACTTTTTAACAACGGAGTCCAGTCCGTGTAAGTTCGAACTCATATTTAAAATAATTTCTACCAATGTGTTCCGGATTTCTCGTTACTTGAAAGGCAGCATCGGTCGTGCTCTATAATCAGGAAGTTAACAGAAGAAAACAAACGGCTTTCCAGAAGCAATTTCTTCAACTCAGATTTAAACCAAATGCAAGCGAGACTTGCCATGTTTTTCAGTGCTTCTGTTTTTTCCCAGCAGTGCATGCTGGATTTGAGAAAATCATCTTGATCCAAATAAATATCTTGTTTCTATTTAAATGCAGAAATTCAAAACAAGTAGGCCCAAGTATCTGAAAACAGCTGCGACTGTCATTGCAACAGGTTATCAAGTTACAACTTGAACGGACGGATGTTTTAAAAACAATTCTCAAGCTCAGTAATATTGGAGAGATAGAAAATCTGATCACTGATTTTCAGGTCATCTATGATCACCTTCCCAGCCCCTGCTGAAAATAAGTATCCCCACAGCATGATGCAGCCTCCACCAGCATTCACAGTGAGAGTGGTGTATGGTGTTCATGGACTTCTGCTTTGTTTTCTCTCATACTTTTCTTCTGGCCTCTTGATGTGAAATAGACAATAAATATTCAACACTCGATTGTATTTAGTCACAGAGAGATTTAAGTTTTGAACCATGTCTTAGTTGCCTTCTACTTAATGATTACACAACATTCTGTGTTGCGGAAAATTCCAATAAATTTCATCAGAATATCACAAAATGAGCAAAAGTTCAAGGAAGATCAAGTCTCTATACACACTTCCCACATGGAGACAAGAACCAGCGAGGATCCGCCCGTCTGCTGCGTGACACATCAGGTTGTCCCCGGACTTCTGCCGGGAGCCGTTCAGGCTGCGGAGCTCGATGCTCAGGACATCGGAGGACACGACGCTGTAGGCGCTGCTGGACAGGCGGACTCCGTTCAGAGTCCAATACAAGGAGCTGGCGTGGAGACCCAGGTCCGGGCTGAGCGTGCAGGAGGCCGTCAAACCAGAGCCAGTTCTCAGGACGGGATCCTGAGGGGAGATCATGGCAACATCTGGATGGAGGAAGCACAGCGCACAAGCTTTTAGGCTGAGCTAATTTTTAAAACACTTTCTACGTGAGCAAGACTTGATTCTCAGTGAATTAGACAATGCAAAATTGGTTTATCTGTATTTATGTCTGGACATTTAGAGATTTTTCTATGTACAAAGTAGTGCCTAATGCTGCATCAGACCTTGTAAAATATGTTGATAGACTTATGAGCAGATGTAAAACATTTTTCATTTATTATGAAAAAGATAAACCTTTTATGTTTACTTCTATGTCAACAAATGCTTCAAGGACCTTTCAGTTTTGTTATCAGCACCTTCATGTTTCTCTAAGGTTATAAACATGATGTTGACTCCCAATTCAGCTGCTTCTCAAAATAGGAAATAAATTACATTAAGTTCACATGAAGCTTTATCATTGAGAGAAATCATAAAGTAGCTTCTCAGTTGGCCGCAGTCAAGCAACTGGAAACATAGCAGCATTTTTTAAAAAGAAAAATACATTTGGAATAAACTACACACTGAATTCTTTAGTGTTGATTAGCTCCCAGAAAACCTTTCATTACTAACGATTAGTTTACAGGATTACAGGCTTTTTGTCTGCAGTGTTTCATTGGTTTCAGTGTTTTTAACTAGAGGGATCCTCAGCAGACATGACCATATTTTAAGAGCTCATTCATTTTAGCAAAATGCTTTTTTCTTTAATTTTTTTAGAGATCATAGCCACACCGCCCCACAACAAAGCATGAGCGCAGATCTTATTTACGTATTCAGCTCATAACAAAGAAGATTTATGGAGCCACAGCAGTTACTCAAAAAGATTCCTCAGATTTTTCAGAAAAAAGTGTTTAGCTTTTTTTATTTATTTTTTTCCAACACTAGAACCACCTGTAAATCATAAAGATTTCTTGCCTGATCGATGTCCATGAAAAACTCTTTTTGTTGAGTTTTTAAAAAATGTATCTGGGTTCTATTTGCCGGACTTCAGATTTGTGACGGTTGTTAATTTTTTCCTGTGTCTCTGCACTTTTAAAATCTGGTCATAATAATAAAAAATGCTGATAATAATAACCCATTCAAGCGAAGAATAAGACGTGTTCCACATTGAGTACAAATATTGGAAAAGATTTTGATTTAGTCTGAAAATGCAAATAGATCATTGCTCAGTCAAAAAGTACATCTTTCTTTCTTAAAATATTTCTTCATGCTTTAAAGTGTAAATAGAAGATTTTTACAGGATAAATTATACTGTTTTATATTTTTGCTGTACAACTTTTTTGAATTTCATTTTGATATAGATGAATTGTTAAAAAGTTATCCGTTGTAATCTATTAGTTTCCAGAAAACCCCGAAAGCAAAATTTAAATGCGACAGCTTGCATGCAAAATAAAGTTGCACATTTAAAGTGGAGTCGATTCAGTGTTTGTTTACCTTTCATAGAGATAGCTACTATATGTGAGCAGTATGTGATAATGAACCAAATAAAAACAATGAAGTGGTAGAAACAACATCAGAAACGTTTATCTTTTGAAGCATAGTTCTGTCCGTCTGCGTGAATCCTAGTTTGGAGCAGCCAAAGGTGAAAAGCACTGATCCCTTACGTGATGAGGAGAGCAGCACGTCTGGAGCGAGGAGCAGCAGAAACATGAAGAAAATCATAGTTTGGAATATGCTTCCCTCTGGTTTTCCTGCATCTGTCTCTTCGTCACTCACTGGACGGATGTGCAGCTTCCCCGTTTGAATTCTTGTGACAAAGAAGAATAACTGCCTGCAATCTGAGAAACATAAGTTGTACCTCGTCACGTCTCCAGCTGCTGCAACAGTTAGGTTGGGTTTCCTCCTCCGACTCAGATCTTTAGTGTTTCCAAGCCTGTTCCCTCCCAAATACTCTCTCTCACACATGCACACGCGCGCACACACACAAACACCCCCCCCCCCCCCCCACACACACACACATAAATACACATACCTCCCCAGAGGTGTGTGTCCTTGGCATAGAGAATGACAACCAATTCTGCTCATTTAAATTTTGAAAAAAGAGAAGGTAGTAAAATAATAATTGTTGTGATTCATGTAGTTTTTTTTTTCTCATAACAAGGAATTTGCATAAACATAGAAATATATGTTTTATGCATCCCAAATGAAAATGTTCTACATTGGTACAACCAGCTGGGTGACATCAATTACACATAGCCTGATGTGTTGTAAAGAAAAGTTGTTTTTAAAGTCCAATTATTCAACAGCTCACATATTAACTCAAACATAAACCAATTTGAGAGGAACCTTTACTTTTTATAGAACATATACTGGAACCTCTGACACACTAATTTCTTGGGTTTATTGGTGGGGAAACTCCTGAGGAAGTCAAGGTATCCACATACTGTCATTAATTCATCATTTTTCTAATTCACTATTTCCAAGTCTTGGTCATTACTTTGCTTTCCATGTCTTATATGTTTGTTTGTTTTTTGCTTCAAACTCATCTGCTTTCAGTTGATGGGCCTCCAACTACATTATTTCAAATGTGCGAAGAGAAGAAGAACGAAACACACAGTTGATGTTGCCATCATACAATAACTTGCAATTAATTAAGAATTGGCAAAGCTCAATGTCAACAGCTGCTGAAAGTAACTAAGAAAGAGACTTTTAATGCAACTGAGTTACTTTCCAAATCAAGTAAACAGTAATCTAAGTTACATTTTCAAGGAGTAATCCTGATAGATAGATAGATAGATAGATAGATAGATAGATAGATAGATAGATAGATAGATAGATAGATAGATAGATAGATAGATAGATAGATAGATAGATAGATAGATAGATAGATAGATAGATAGATAGATAGATAGATAGATAGATAGATAGATAGATAGATAGATAGATAGATAGATAGATAGATAGATAGATAGATAGATAGATAGATAGATAGATAGATAGATAGATAGATAGATAGATAGATAGATAGATAGAGACTGTTTTTTCCAGGATAATTTGTTCCTGCCAACATCATCGTTTCTTACCGTCTTCTAACAGTTTGTGCCAAAGTCATCAAGACACATTTCACACTGCAGTGAAGGCTGCGCTGCATGTTCAGTTTAAAGAAGAACTACGCGTGCGTGCGTGCGTGCGCACGAGCAAAAATGGTGATGATGCGCGTGACGCCACGAGCAGAAGCGGATCGGAAGAGCTGCAGACAGACAGACAGGACCCGAGCCGAGCCGAGCCGAGGCAGCAGCAGCAGCAGCATCGCAGGTCGCTCAGTGCGGGTTGAAGGCCGACTCTCCGCTCCTCTCTCCAGGCTCCTTCAGACGCTCCGGTTCGGCGGCAGCATGCGCGGCTGGTTCCCCGCCCTGCTCTCGGTTCTTCTCGCCGGGCTCGCCGCCGCGACGTCCTCGGATCTGTTTGACGACCAGCTGGGTGACATCAATTACTGCAAAAAGCAATGCCAGCTGACCATCAAAAACAAGAGCCCCGCTAAAGTAAGTTGCTCCCGTGCGCTGGGCTGAAAGCGGGCACGATCCTTATCATGACCCGCGTTTCATCAGCGACACCAGCGTCTTTTGCGGCGAGCTATTTTCGGTGGTTATAGTGTGAAGAACGAGGAGCTGAAGGTAGACGCATTTCTGCGCAGCTCGATCCAGGCTCGCACATTTCTCTGCATCTTCTCGGCTGCGCTTTACAGCGCGCGCAATCAGGCCGAAAAGATGCGGCTCGTTTCCGTCTGCGCCCCGGAGGCAAGTCCAAGATGAGGACTGCATCCAACGCTCGTCCCGTGATTCAGCCCAGCCAACACTGCACCATGACAGATCAGGATCAGGGGACACCCGTTAGTGACAGTCTGCGGTAATGCGCACGGAAGGAGGCCAAACTGGACCCGAGCGGGAAGCGGGGATGAAGGACATTTTCTTATGGTTCCTTTGATTTAATGCGGCTAAATCCGCTCTCCCCTCCCTCTGCTTCTCTGCTGCCTCCAGGTGTGGTTGAGACACCCGGCAAGGCAGCGAGGAGCAGACCTGCAACGCGGGCTTTATTCGCACGCTTGAGAACTGTGCAACGCGAAAGAGTCAGGATGCAGGCTTATAATGCATATTAATCGGCCTGCTTTTGTTTTGTCGTGTTTTGGGAAATGCATTCGAGCCAAATATCGTTTGCTGAAAAACAAAACGAACAGTTCTCATCTCGGCTTTCTCCGAATCATCAACAGTCCCCCAGAAAAGATGCTGATAAAGCTGCAGCAAATATTCCAGAGGATCTCTTTGTCTCTCCCGTGCTCGCAGTGGACGCTAGAGGGTGCTGTTTCTCCAACTAGCGGAGAAAATCGAGAGCCTCCCTCCACCTCCCCTCCCCCCACCTTCACATTAAACCTTTCACAAGTCTAAAACAACCAGCTCGCTCATTACCACGTTTCCCCTGACAGTGTCTAGAAGTCTGTTATAAACTGTATATGACAGCCCATAATATGACGGCCACACTGTGTCATTAACTGATGCCGTGCTCCATCCGTGTCACATTCTCAAACAAACTTAAGTGGACTTTCTCCCAGACTACCAGGGGATGTTTCTAATTTTGTTTCCCTCTCTGTCTGGCTGGTAGGACTCCATAATGAACGCCTGTCACCGCGGCTGCCGCCTCTACTCCATCTGCCAGTTTGTCAACGGGGACGCCGGCTTTAATACCAGCAAGGAGGAGTGTCAGGGAGGTGAGTCAGTGAGCCCATCTTCGCATGGGACTGTTTGTCTTTTTGTCCCCAGATAGAATAATTTCACAGACATTGCATCACTAATGCAGACGTAAGTGACCAATGCCGCACATTTGGGTCAACTTGGAGTTTTCCTTCTTGATATATATATATATATATATATATATATATATATATATATATATATATATATATATATATATATATATATATATATATATATATATATTTTTTTTTTTTTTTTTTTTTGCAGCAAGAGGCTACCTTGCCGCACCTTTTTCAACTGCCATATTGAAAATCAATCATGTGATTTGCCATCCACGCAGGTGTTCGGTTTCAGTGGAGAGTGAATTCTCTCCGCAGGAGCCAGCAGAAGCAAATTCTCCCTCGTTATTGTGCAGCCTGTCCTTTTATTTATTTATTTTTTTCAGAATTGTCCTCCTCTTTTTCTGTGCAGCTTGCCAGGAGGCATACATCAAGCTGCTGGAGCAGGAGGCCTGCAGCACCGGCTGTGCCAGCCAACCCCCTGAACCTGAGATCATGAGGAGGAAGGTGAGGGAAGGCAGCTCTGTGCACAATAAATTCACACTCCCATACCTACGTGCTGCTTTTCAAAACGAGCATGACTCACCAGTCACCGCTGAAAATTGCCATCAGAGACACGCTTGCATACGCACTGAGGTCAGCCAGGCTTTTCTGGTCGAACTGTTTGACCTGTTCTTGTCTCTTTGGCAGCTGAGGGCCATGACCTTGCGCCCGAAGCCCCCCTCTGTGATGGAGGCCGTGTCCAGCTGGTGCAATGACATCGTCAGCTCGGCCCAGAGCTTCATCTCCTCCACCTGGACCTTCTACCTGCAGGCCGACGATGGCAAAGTTGTGGTTTTCCAGGTAAGAGGCACTGACCAGATTAAATTTTTTTTTTTTTAATTTTAAAGAAGAGAACTTTAATACAAAGTAATTATTTACGAGGCAGTATATTTTTTATAAAGCGTTTTTTTTTTTTACAACTAAAAATTCAGTTATCTTCTACTTTCTCAAAATCAACATAATTGAACTTTCAATTATGTTCAATTCAGTAAACCTGAGCCACTTGGCAAGGCAGAAACATCCAATTCTTATTTGATTTCTTAACAGAGCGGTTTGGTTTATATTCAGCTCACATCAATCGAATTAATTCAAAAATGCTGCAGTGAAATAGACAAGTGAAGATACTATCACTGCTCTCACAAACTCCCTATGTGCTTTTTCCTCATACTTCAATATTTCTGATGATCAATCACATTTTAATATTAGATCAAAATAATGGTTGTTTTATTTTTAAGGGAAAAGATTTCAAACCAAAATGACCGCATGATCTTAAATATAATTTCCCTTCCCTTATTAAATCATAAATTAACAATTATTATCTGAAATTTTAGCTTTGTTCCTTTGGTCACTTTTGAATTTGATTACTAGCAGACTAGTATAATCAATATATTGGTTCAAAAGAACCTGTCTGACAACATGAAGTAGGCTAAAAGGTGTCAAAAAGCAGCCCACCAAGCACAGAGCTAAAGAAATTCAAGAGCAGAGGAGAATCCAAGGCTTACCAAACCATTTCTACGGTTTTGTTCACTCCGGTGAACCACAATGAGAGTCTCATCCACAAATGGAGAAAACATGGAACTGAGATTAATCTTCCCAGGAGTTGCTGGTTTGCCAAAATTCCTTTGGGAGTATGTGGACGAGTCAGTCAGGAGGTCTCAGTAAAACCCAGAACCACATCTGAAACTCCGCAGGCTTCACTTGTCTCATTTGATGTCAGCGTTCAGGATTCAACAATAAGAAAGACAGCGCATCGAAATTACATCCATTGTATTCAAAGGGGAACCAATACAAACACAAAGGATGCTTCTCAAATTTACCAAAGTACATGTTGATTCTCCAGAAAATTTCCCTAAATGACTAAAATGTTTGTGCATCTATTCTGCAGAGAGATGAGACAAAGGGGAACCTTTTGAAAAGTGTGTGTCTTGTCACATCTGGCATAATACTGCTGCACTTTCACACACAAAAAAAGATCAAATTAATTGTTAAATGTAGTGGAGGTAGTGTGATGGTCTCTTAATGTTTCCTCAGTTTAGGGCCTTACTGTAGATAAGAATTAAAATTGGCCCAGTCAAAGTTCAAACCTAAATCTGTAAGATTTGAAATGTAAAATTTACAGGAACTCTCCTT